AGATGGGCACAAGGATGGGCGCAGTAAGTTTCTATTTCCCCAAAATCATTTTCTTGATCGGCGATACTGACTCCTGCAACAGGGCAAGCTTGAAACATTCAATTTTGACCTTCAATCGAGCCAAGGAAGGAAAGAGAATCTTCACAACACGATTTGGACTGCTCAACCTGTTACTCATTCGTGAGCTCAGTTATTACTTGGTTACCCAATTTGCTTGCTTGGTAGCAAGCTTCATTTTTCTAAATTTCCCCTTGACCCCAGCAGCGTTCTGGAAGACTGTTTTCTTCCAGTATCCGGTTTCTGAGTGGTTCTTTTTCGTTAGGTAAGATTTCCACATCCACTCATTGATTTCATTACTAATTTGATAAACAGCATTTTTTGTTTGATTGGCACGCTCTGGGTCACTAATCAAGTTAAATCCGAGTTTGCGTCACGATGGATGATCATTAAGTTCTCGATTGCCTATCCATTTTATCTGCTATTTTTGGCCACCATAGGTCTGTATGGACATGCCCGGCAGTTGACTAAATATTCATCTTGGAACCCTACTGCAAGAACGTAGATGATGTGAATAACTTTATGAATTTGTATATACATTTTAATTGGAGAATTTCTGGGCAGCATTTAGGGAGGAAAATTTAGAAGATAGAGATGCATTGGCTTTATTGCCTTTTAAAAGTTTATATCATTTTGCCAATTTTGCCGATATTCTTATCAAAAATTTGAGTGTGCTGTTGTTGTCTTTGCCGCCGAAGTTTTTGTTTCTTCAAAATCTTGTGATATGCTTCACGTGCCAAGATATATTCGTGTATATACCCCTGACATTATTGACTACAAGCAATCATTGTAAGGGCGATGAGGTGATAAGATAATTTGGATATAACTCCTCCATCCCCACAGGAATCAGTGGAACTTGGAACTTGGTAGCAACGACATGGATAATGATACCGAACTTTCCCATATTCATTTCCCATCCTGTTCTGGTGAGTCTAAGCTTAATGTTTAAGGCCTAGTCGTCACAGATTGAAAAGGCTTTCCTTTTCGATATTAAATGATCGACATAACCGGCCATGGCACCTCCGTATCCCCTGCAATCTTCATTAAATCCGAAAAACATCATTTTCACTGAATTCTCATAACGTGATTCATATGCGAGTGGATCATATCATTGAATGGATCACTTGAAAATGCACCAAAATTAGTTATTTTTAATATTCCTATTTTAATAACTATTTATTATTTTTGAAAAATAAAAGGATATAAAATAATAATAAAAATGAAATATCTATAATTTCTAGTTTCTTTATAGATATTTTGATTATAGTTCAAAATTGTTATATTTTGCATTACAAAAACCTTCTTTTTCAATTAACTTTTATATTAATTAAAATTTTGAAATGAAAATTAGATTTTTATATTATTTATATAATTAAATACTATATATTTAATTTCTGAAAAATTATATTAATAAATAAATAAAGTATATGATTATATACAAACGAATTTTATATATAAAATGAAGTGATTCATTCGTGGATATGGTTCACTCGTATATAAATCACGTTATAATACTATTCCAAAAATGAATAACGTGATTCATTACTGAATAGATTATATTACCAAATGGATTACTTTCACCTCAAATATTCATATCTTAATTCAATATACATTTTATTAATCAATTATTATATAATTGAATAATAATAAAGCTTAAATATTCTTAGTTATTGAAACTATTCAAAAAAACAAAAAACTTAATATTTAATAATTTATTAAACTATATAATATATTATATATAATATTATATTATAAAATAAATAATTTTATTTTTTATATTAAATTTTTATTAAATAATAATAATCTTTTGAAATTAGAGAAAAAGATTATTATTTAATATATAATTAATATAAATATAAAAGATTTTATATTTAAATATAAGGGGATAAAAGATAGAATAAATTATATTTTTGAATTAAAAAGAACAAAAAGAATTAGAAAGTAATAAATGTATTAATTTGTAAAATGTAATAAAGAGTTAAAAATGTATTTTATTTATATTTATAACTTTTAAAAAACTTTTTATAAAAATTCTAAGTTTATTGAAGATTGATTTCGACTTATATCGAATATATAAAATAAATTCGATATTCTCGATTATGATTTATAGAATCTTAATAAGATAGATTTCATAATAGGAATTATAAATACTAATATAATTATTATTAATTTTAAAAGATTTGATAGAAATAAAGCTATATAATTAGATAATTGAGAATAAGTAATAGCAATTATATATAATAATAATAAAGGAAATATTATATTTCTATTTTTAAAAATTTAAAAACAAATATATCTTTTTAATCAATATATTGAAATCAATCTTTTTACAAATTGGATTATTAGATTTATTTCTAATAAATAAACAAAAAAAACAGAATTAAAATAATTGAAATACTTCAATGAATATATAAAAAATCAAATTAAAAACAAATATAAAATACTAATACTAAATAGATATAAAAGCTATAAATTAATATCATTTCAGAATTATTACAAAAAGAATAATATTAAATATATATATTTACCATTATATTTAAATCATTTAATTTAATATTTTAATATTATAAAATGAGAATATAATAATAAAATTAAAGAGTTTATAAAAGCATATATCAATCATATCTCAAAAATCGAATTTTTTATAGTTTTTAAAATTGTATATTAATAATCAATTATAAATAAAAACATAAAAACTAGATTTCAAATTAAACATTTGTATTTATATATCTATTTTTCCTTTTTTCAATTTAAATCTCTAGGTTTTTCAAATTTCTTATAATTCTATAAAAACTCTTTTTTAATTAATATTAATTAAATCTTGAATAGCTTATTATTAATTAAGCTTTTCTATATTTTTATTTGAGATTATATTAACTTTAACTAAAAATATAGAAAATTATATATTTCAAAAAACTAATAAGATATTAAGCTAATATTAATATATATATAAAATATAAATATATTAAAAAGGAATACTTACTAAATAAAAGACTTTAAATATATTATTTTAATAAAAAATTAATATTTAGATTTAATATAATAAATATTAAAATAAAGAGAATTTTAATAAAAAAGTATTTTTTAATTAATATTGTAATAACTATAGACAAACAGATTATAATATAAGAACTTATTAAATTGATATAATAAATCCCGGATTATTAGATTTTTAATAGCTTTAATTAATTAAATCAATAATTGTTGAATAATATAAATTTGAAAATATCAATTGAAATGAAAGTGATCTACTCAGTGATATAATCCACTCGGTGATGAATCACGTTAAATAGTTTTCGAAATAACCCGTTTACTAATATAACCTACTCACTGATAAACCACGTTATAGTATTCGAAGATAAGATAACATGCAAGTGACGAAAATATCATGTGCGCGAAAAAGAAAGAATACCCCAAGATGTGTACTTTTTTCCCCATCCCACGTGAAAAGGAAAACCCAAGATCTTGAATCTGAAGATTTACACGAGCACACAGGAGCTTTTTAGTTTAATATGCGTTCTAAGAATACATTTTTGGAGATCATATTGATACTACCGTATAGGATCAAAATCTCGGCGCGTTGACTTACATGTACAGTTGAGTTGTTGGGTGTACATCAATGTACCTTCTAGACTTGACAGACTGAGATAACCTTCACCGTACACTGTCACAAATGTGATTCATGGGGAAAGTCACCTTACCCACAAGCCGGAGTAGGTGATTGGAGGAACCTCTCATGTGAGTAACCAACCCCTTTCCAAATTTTGCTTTAGTTCGATTGGAGATCATGCCAAATGCGGCGACCTACGCGAGCTATCCCACAATACAATTTTTCACGTTCCTGATAGCGTATCTCAGCTTGTCCAGTTTAGACGGCAGATGTCAAGAGGTTCCCTAAATGGATTCGGGGACCACTTCTGAAGTATCGGACAAAGTATCATTCCGAGCGGATGGCGTGCTAAACCAGGTAGTTATCACTAATCCTGATAGAATCAATATAACACTGCCGTATATCAACCTTATATCGTAGACTTTTGGAAACTTTCAGAAAGATTAGAATTTTCCTTTATCGAAAACGTACCCCCTGCTATCATCCCTATCCCGGTACTTGAGAGGTTCTTTGAACTAGATGGGTACCTTGTCTCTTAAGATTGCGTAAACATTCATTTAGAATAAAGTAAATTCCGGCTCTCAGACGGTGATATCACATATAAATGAAGTTTGATATATGCAATAGCTTTATCTGATCCAAATTTTCCCAAAATTTTGGCATCAATTCACCGGATAACCTCCCGGCTCGCGATCCCATGGGCGCTGTGTCGCAGCGGCATTACTCGTACACCAAAATTTAGCCACATATGCAATGCCTAAATGTGATTTGAGGAACTGACAGCCTCACGTCAGGATGTGCCATGCGGTGTACCGAAAGTCCCTGGAAGCTGGGTGGATCCAGTGCCGGGGCTAGCAGCGCTAAGCTTTAGTCTATCCGGCCTCAGGTATCCACTAGACCGAGATAGCTATAGTGGAGTAGCAGAATCCAAAATGATATTGATATCTTGAAGATCGTGATAATGCACTTCAACAGAAAATTCCTGTTACGCTATGCTCTCGGAACTATACCGGTAGGTCTCTCTTTTAGATCAAACGTGGAGGAATGTCTCATCATGACACGGCACGGCATCACCAAAGTGGCAGCTGCAGAGTTGATACTGCCAACGCAAAATATTGATGGGGCAGACGTCACAAAAAGACGAAAAAAAAGTAGTGAGAAAGACCGAGGGGATCGGCAAGTGTGAAGAGCAAGTCTTGGTATTGAACTCCGGTGAGGCTGATGAAAGCTCTGGAGACATAATTCCCCATATCCACATCAAAGTGCGAGAGATCTTTAACATCCCTCTCCATCCAAAATCTGGGACAGTTCGACGGCGAAATTGGTATTCGAAATGGCTTTCACCCAATTAACACCTGTGAAGGAGTTCTATCAAGAGCCTACCCTTCACCAGATTCTTTCCCAGTCTCACTTTGTCGGTCTCAGAGGATTTCTAGTTATCCAATCTTTTCTTTGGACATTCTTGAATACCCTCGTTCCCACGGCCGTCACCGGTGCCCCCAATTCCGATGGCCCTGTTTATCAGGAGATGCTCCGAAAGGTAGTCTCCGTTGTCTTCTGGAATGAGTCTTTGATCTATTCAGCATTCATTCTCATCTCCGCGCGCACAATCTGCACACCATTCCTTAACAAGCCCTCGCACGATTTCGTCGCATCGTCATCGTTCCGCCGAGGCTTACGTCTTTGGTTTCCTGCTGCCTTCTCCCTCGCAATCATATACATCGTTTTCACTTGCATTGGAACATCCTATATCGATGAGTTCAAAACCGCAACAAACAATACCACCATCGATACTCCCTACATGATCCCAAATGCTCTTGCATACTTCAACTCGGTTTTCATTCTGTTCTGGACGAATAAAAAATTTGACCTCCAAGCAGCGAACTATGCTTTTCCCTCGCAAACTCTTTGGGTCATCTCCGTCCTCTTCCAACAGAGCTATACTGTTTACATGACGATGGTCATTATTCCCTATGTCCGAAAGTCATGGAGAGTCAAGGCTTTCATTGGGTTCATTGCTACCGCATGGTGGGTTGATAGCTGGGCTTGGTATTCAATTACTGGTCTCTTATTGGCTGATATGAGTATCAATATGAATTTCCAAATGCGTGCCCAGGCGGGAATTCCGCTGGGAACTTGGAGAGGCAGAAAGTGGAGAATGCCCGTCTGGCCATTGTATACCATTCTTACCTTGGCCGGTTTGATCATGATGTACATTTGGGCCGCATGGAGACCCCAAGATGTTTACAAGGAGGTCAGAATCCATACCGGCGAGTATTCGACTGGTGGATTGAACGATGTGGTAATGGAACCCGGTACACCAATGGCAAGAGATGATAATTATCTATTCTTGCTTGGAACCTTCCTGATCTTGGAGACCTGGAGTTTCCCACAAGCGGTGTTCCGCAATCAATTCCTCATATATTTGGGTAAAAGATCCCTCAGTAAGTCTCATTCACTATTTCCTCTCTGTGGCGCCAAAGCTAACAATCAATAGGTTGGTTTCTTGTCCAAAGCATCATCATTTACTCCGTAGGCATCAAACTCTTCACCCATCTCACAGAAACAAGAAACGCATCATTTGAAGCAGCAGCCACAGCTTGTTTCTTTGTATGCTTGTTGACGGTCATTCCAAGCGCGGAAATATTCTATCGACTGATAGACTTCCCTTCTCAAGCATTTGCTAGAGTCACTTTTAAGTGGATTAGAAAGTAGATGAAATAGTTGATTTTTCATTTATGGTCTTGTAGATAGAGCTAGATTTCGTTATGTATCATGTATCATACGTTGTATATATTATGAATGAGTTATTTTCTCATGTTTTTTAGATCCTGCGAAAGTCCATTCTGTGGAAACTGTTGCACAGTCTTTTGCATGGTAAAATAGAGTGTATTTTTGTGCTAGATTTGAGATGATCATTCGATGATATATGGTGTGTAGTTCCATGTGATTATGTGATTCTGACCTCTCTGACATTAGGGGGAGAGATACATATCTTACCACCACAACCTCAACTTTTACCTCTTGCCACATTACACATTAAAGGTATCTCTCTCTTTCACATTCCTTTCTCCACTTCTCTCTTCCTATCAAGTTGAATCTTTCGACTTGGTCTTTATAATCTCCTTACTAAACTCCTCAATAATATGTCTCAACCTCTCCGTCCCCTCCGGATCTATATCATCCGCATCATCAGGCAGATCTTCCATGACATTAGCCTCTTCAGAGACTAGCTCCAGCACCGTACCATTAAGATTATTCCCCTCACCAACCACCTTTGAGGGATCATTAGTCCAATTCATATCCAGCCACTTCTGATCGGGACGAAAATTTGGAGTGCTCTTTCGATGGAGGTGACATCTGAGTTTATGGTTATACATGAATTTGAGTCCGGAACCACGATGCCAGCGGGCGTTCCAATCGGTGTAAACCCACGATTTTTCGTTGCTGAAAACTTTGGAGGATTCGGGCCAGTATCCGTGGCAGAAGAGATGGTTTGCGGTTTCTTCGTCCATGTCTTCGGTTTTTTCCCGGAGGGTTCTGCAGGTTTCGAAGTTCTTTCCTTCGACGTCTGGTTGCATGACTCGGCGGTGTACAAGTCCATCTTTCCATGTTCTTTCGGGCCACTTGAGGCGTTGTCCACAAATTATGTTAAGATAGCGGGTAAGGGGAGGCATTTTGCGGGTTTGCTAGAACTGAGGTCAGCTGATGAATTCAAAATTGGGATTCTCGACTTACTTCTGGACATTGCTGTTGAAACATTTCCCAAGCACGAGCTTTTCCTTTTCCTCCTCCTCCCCAATCCGTGGAACCGAATCCCATATTCATGTTAATTAAGTGTCGTTCAGTATCGAGACCTCTCCAGTCCTGGCCACTAAAACATGGGAAGTTCCAAGACTTGGTGGGCTTATCGGAGATTTTGTTGGTGGCGGACAAAGATACAGAAAGAACGAGGGCTGATCTATTTTCTGCGCCGAATGTAAATTCTTTGCCATTGACGTAATCTATCTGGGGTCTCTTGAGCCTATTCAGTTCTTTATAATTATTCCAAGAGTCTCTCTTGACATTTTCTATATCAAACCCGTGCTTGCTTAGCTTTTCGATGCCGATGAGTTTCTTTTCATGATTTCCAGAGTCCAGCATCGTGTAACAGTTGACTTGACACAATGTATCAGGCGCATCTTCAGGACAGAATCTATCTGCGGCAAATTGCGCCTCGTAGCATCTTTTCTGAACATTTTGTCGAAACATCTTGGGTTGGCACTTCATGTAACATTTGTTGCTCGCCCAACCAGCAGCAATGAAATAACCTGCGATCGTGTGGCTAAAATTTTGAGCTTCATCGGAGATGTCAACACGGTCAAGTCGGTGGATGATCTCCTCATAATTGGCGTTGAACATCCAATCGCTCATCTTCTGATCAAGATGGGTTTCCCCAAATCCATTGAGTGTTTTGAAGACGTCACTGATGTTTTTGATATAGTGCTTCATGATTTCACTCATGTGGTATTTGGAGTCGCTGATACGAGTCCCAGTGTCGCTTCCATCGGCAGCCAGACCATCCATATGGCCACAGTAAAGGTCACTCGTATATGTCATACTTGTGAGGCGCAAGAAGTCGAAAGGAGTTTCTCCGTCATTGCCTGCTCCAAACTTTTTATACTTGAAATCATGCTCCATTGGTAATGTAAAATCCAGAATCTGTTTCAGGAGAGAGGCAACTTGAAACGGCTCAAGCTTGTTGAACGAAGTCCAAAGCCCCCCGGCATCACCCTCAATTTTGACTAGTTTTGCCAAACTCATCATGAGGAATTTTTCCGAGAATTGATATAGCAGATTGATAAAAAATGTTTTGAGCTTGCATTTGAGAATTGCTTCACTGTTGCCTTGCTTAGTGAATTCTACGATGATAGTGTCGATTCTTGGCAGCACAAAATCCTGGGCGCGTTTGAGAGCATTCTGACAATTGTTAGTAACAAATAATGATGAGCAATCATGAATAGACTTACTAATGTGTGAGTTGCAGTGCGGAAGGTCATGTAGTAGCTCATAGCGGCCCAGTATCTTCCCTGAGCTTCTTCGACCCTTTTTTCCCGAGGCATGTCCGGTTCGGTGGCATCCACAAATTGCAAAATCTTCAGAGGACTTGGCGATGAAGAGCAGCCATTGTCGGGATCGCAAAACCAGTGAGGCATGCCGAGCTTTTCTTCTCCGTACCGAGCCGAGAGACTCTTCCCACTAGCAATGTCCTGTAGTGCCAAAGCTTCCCAATCTTTGTATTTCTGGACCCAATCAGGGATCTTGTCCATGTTATCTTCAATCATTTTGAAGCATCCATTATTAGCAATTACCACCAGTTCTTTAGGTGTCCATTCTTCAGTTCTCTTTGCGATGCTGCTAACATCTGCAACGGCCGAAGGGACAAGCACTGGGGCATTGCTATCTGTGATGCTGAGCCTGTCAAGGGCGATCGCAGAAAAGACAAGGTTCGGGGAGCATGCCCCGATAATGAGAAGTGGGAAAAGGGCCTTCATGTGTATCGACTACAACAGCGAATCTGCTTGATGCTGTGTTGGGAGTTGAAGTACGACAATAATGAGATAGGGGGAAGTAAACAATTCATAGTATGATTTTACAGACAAGGCGTCCTATATAAAAAAAGATGCGTCCTTAGCTTCCTGAAATCGGAGCCGAAAATTACGAGAGGAAATGGATTAAATATGTAGATCCTTTGACGTTAGGTGATAGTGTGACTCTAAATGCGACTCAAATCTGAATGACGGGTGCCGAGAACGTTCGGAACTGGAATCTAGGAGAGAAATAGGTGAAATCGATTGACTAGAAGATATTCCATGTACTAAACATCGGGGAAAGACTTGATTCCGATCACTTGATTGAACAGTGAGGGGTAAGAGCTTCATAATAGGCACCCACAATGGGAGAGAGCTGGAGTCTTGCAAGAATCTGTGGAGCTTACTAGTGTCATCTAATGGCTTGATGATGCTTTATAGAAACTAAGGAGGAGCTATGTCAATAGCCGGCTTAGAATTGCAGGCTAACTGTTGTCGTTGGTTTGTTTATACTGAACGAACTTCGGTCTCAGGACAATGTCTTGAAGACATCATTCTATCAGAAGCCAATATAGTCTTCCAGATATGAACCATGCCCCCTCTCCGCTTAATCATGATACTACTCAGTTATCAATCACCCCTGCTAGAAGTATTGCCGATCAATTAGCTTATACCCAAGATGCAACAGTTCAGGGATATGTGAGCGCGGTACTCCTGCTTATATGCCGAAGAAACTGTTCTTGTACATATGGAAAGACTGCTGACGCTATACATCCAGACAACATTTCGATCCATTATAGTCGCATCTTTCATATTTATTCCAAACAACGCAGTACAATCTAGAATACCCAGGTATTCACTTGATAAATACCAGATCCTGGTGAAAGCGGATTCATCTGACGGACGATGTTCAGCAAACGTCAACACAGCAGAAAATCGATGACCGATACAGCGCCGGACTTTGCATGAGTGACCCTAGTGAGAAAGGCTAAGATCTTTGCATTTCCCCACACTGGCTAGTAGAAACCTCCGACTATTGAACTACTTTAGACTGCACACGCACAATACCCCCACGAAGGATAAAGTAGCCAATGGGTCATATTAGTTAGTAAAAGCGATTTAATTACACACCCCCAAGATCTTGAACCTTAAATGGACAATATACGACTGTCGAAAAGTATAAATAAACACGTGAAGCAGCAAATAAACGGTCGCCAAGGCTCAAGTAGACTTTGCCTACCTAGTAACGAACGTCAACTACTTGCTGCACAACATAGCGATCGACAACTTTTGAGCTAAATTCCAAGCATCAACATCTTTTGGGTTCGTGAAGTCACGAGATGAGTCAAGTAGTCAATTTCCACGGTTCATATATTGACGACATGACAATGACGACAACAATCTGGTCTGGAGATAGTGTCAACACCTGATGGAAATTATAGATCCAACCAAGTTATCAAGGTACATCATGGAATCATCTTGACGTCTCCCTTTGGATCTTCAATCCGAATAGGAAAGTGGGGTATAGCGGAAAGGCAATGACTAGCTAATTGCACTAATATAGCGGTACCTCAAATCTTGGAAATTCATCTTCAGTCGCCGAAATTGCCTAAGTATTGGGTACCAGTACCGGTAAGACTTTGATTTTTTCGAATCTCGGCATGGAAGATGGAGAGGAAGCAAGTTAGATATTGCAAATACAATTTTTCATATCCTAAAGCTTGACATGTGAACATTATTTCCCAAAAGCTTTATCGATCGCACATCCCATATACGTCACAATAACATTGATTGGGCTCTGGGCAATGCATTGCATTCCTCCCAAATATGATATGCCAAAGATATTCCATAACTCTCCCGCTTTCTCGGTCCGGTAATGGAGTTTGGAGTACCCAATCCCGATAGTGTACGTACTCTTCCTTTTTTCTTTGCAATATCTGTAATTTCGAAACCGCAAATTGAGCACAACACGTTGCGCCGATCTCAGCAGGCATAGCCGTATCGTTCCCGAATACTTGCATCCAGATCTTCGGGTTTATATGGGTGTTTGGGGAAACATCTGATAGCGCACAACCGGGCTTCAAAGCACATCGAAGATTCACGTAGCCTTGTTCCTGTACGAAATCAAGGTTGAGGGTGTTCAAAGAAACAACGTTATCGTGACCAGCTACGTCTGTGTGCCATGCATCCCACCAACCATTTTGATGGGCATGGAGGAAAGCGCTTATCGAAGGAAGCTTATCGTAATTGTCAATGATATATGTGAGGTACACTATTGACTCATGGCCTTTATTTGGCGTATGTAGTTTGGCATCTGGATCGTCAACAGAGTAAATGTATGACTGCCAACTGTATATTTCATGACAATTAGTATTGGTCATAAATATTTGGCAATTGGGGCATTGATATGAGCTTCACTCACTCAGGTAAAAACTCCTCAACCCAACTTATGTCTTCAGTTTTTAAGTGCGGAATCACCACAGCTCTATCTTGTCCAATCTTCACCGGCCGAGGAATGTAGCCATCGATTGACGCACTCACGATATCGAAAACAGTAAAGATATTGCGCAGATGAAAAAACACGAAAAGAAGATTGAAAAAGAGTACTATCGCAATGATAGCCACTCTAGTGGCGCGTTTCATAACCTCAACATTCCCTTTCACAAAGCACCGTGATACTCGAGACAATTGCAGTATCCACTTAGATTGAAAACTTCGAAAGAAAGAAGATTAAGGTGAGGGAGAAAAGGGCAAAGGTACAATCGTTGAGCACCTGCTTCAATGGGAACTCGTTTAGATCTACTCAAATTATCCATACGATATCCCATTGGGTACCCATTCCCAGATCCTACGAGACCCTTGGTAATCGTAGCTCATGGGTAATCTCAACTGATTTTTTCAGGGACGCGTACCCTTAACCGCAACTTGTACTACGATCCCCCCCCACACACCATTGCGACGCTATTTCCCCAAGAAGCGAATGCTTCTTGACGGCCAAAGACGCATGTTACCAGCATCCGACATTCACAAGTATGGGTGATAAAGGCGAACCGTTCGGCGGGGAGAGTTCCAAATCGAGAAATGCCTAGACAAAGGTATCAATATGATACTTCGAAGTTGCTTCCAACCGCATCGCGAAAGATTGTGATATTTTCACCGGTAAATCCTCGGGCTTAAGATTGGTAGCGGCACCAAGTGCATTTTCCCCGTAATAAATTTGTGATCGCTCAATAGATTGCGTGGGCTTTTGATAATTCGGTCCCGAGATGTCATCGCAATTGAAACTCTTCTACTTATACACACCTGTATTTGAAATACTATATACAGTAAATTCATGCTGTTCAAGAAGGATCGCTTGAGGACGGGATACCAATCACTCGCTACCCGGGTTTGTCGAATTGGTGATAACCCCGAAAATTGGGCGCGCATTGATTATCGTGATAGGATCATTTGCGCCACGATATATATCACATTATTCTATACGTCCAATCACCGACACACATGTGCTCCATCTCTCCGGACTTGTTGCGAATTACTTCTTTCATATCACCATCATTCGGATTTCCAGTCTTGGCCAGTTTTGGGAATAATTCAGCAGGACGATATTTCATTCTCACAATAGATCATAATTTTACCTCCACTTTCTACGGAACGCTTATGGCGTGGTGTTGATCAACGCTAGCTAACTATTGCAACGAGGTCAAATCAAATACCTTTGATGATATCTGCAGCCTTTTCCGCCACAGCATACACCGAGGATTGGATATTCCTACGTGGAATCAGTGGGAAAATGCTTGCATCAACCACGCGTAGATTGTTCGTACCGTGAACGATCAGCTTATCATTTACAACGCCGCCTTTTTCTTTTGGTAGCATTGCAGCGGTACCACAAGTGTGATAAGCAGTCACGGCAGTGTCAAGGACATACTTCTTGGCTCCCTCAAGAGTATGGATATGGAAGGAGTCTGGGTGGTTTCGCTTCCCGTCAGGTTTGAAGAAAGCTGAGAGTTCTTTCGTTTGACGAAGTGTCTCAAGCGTCTGTCCATGACGTGCCAAGATCTCAAGATCTGCAGGATGCGATAAGAATCGTGGATCAATGGTAGGTAAATCATCAACGTTTGATGAGGCGAGGTTAGTAGATCCTCGCGAGAAGGGGTGACTTTGGCAACAACCAAGACTAGCAAAGTTTTCTGGTTGTAGATCTGACCCTACAAAACTCTTTCCACCCTCATGTAGATTAGTTTGAGCAAGAAACATCAACCAAGCCGCCGAACATTCTCCTGGACTTTCGATAATTGAGCGTACAGCTTCAAAATGATCCACATCTTGTGGCTTTGGAGGGTACTTTTGGAGTATACTCGTCAATAGTTCTGCCTGTTTTTGGCGACCTTCCGCGTCGGAATATTCCAGGATGGGCATGAATGCGTGAGATTGTACTCCACCAATAGTAAAGGGACCTGCTTTGTTCTCGGTGTACAATTTCTGAGCAAGTTCCAACGCCTGTGGCTCTTGGCGCAACAAAGGATCGCCAGTTGTTACTCCATCAACGACCTCAAAGCTGACACCCGTCATTAAATGATCCTGCATATTTTCTCCTACGCCACAATTACTGATGACGACCGGAATGTTAAGCTTCTTAAGCAAATCTTCATCTCCTATGCCGGATAATTCAAGCAGTTTGGGTGTGTTGAACACTTCAGCGGCGAGAATAACCTCCTTGGTGGCGGTAAACTGCTTGATCTCACCCTGAACAGACGCCAATACACTAGTCGCGATGAGGCCATCGCTTGATTCCTTGAACAAAATCTTATGAGCTGTAGCGTCTGTAATCAAGTGAAAGTTCGGTCTCTGAAGAGCCGGTATACCATACGCAGAGCCTGCGTAACTTCGAGTCTTGGTGGCAATATCGACCGTAGCTGCATTGCTGTATGCTCCAGTCGAGTTTCCAGAGAAAGGATCTATTATGTGTAAGTTCATCATATTCTTGGCATGGAACAAGTTCCCCTTGCAGGCAATGAACACCTACTTCAGTGGTTAATTTTCCAAAGCCACGAAAGCTATCGATCCAGGCCTTGCATAGCGGACTTTGGACAACTCCGGGCAATGATACTTGAATGGGTCCAGTTGTTCCACGGTAATCTTCATTTATCCAGTCAATACCTAGATGCTCGAGAGTCTCGCTGTCGGGTGGTGGTGAAAGAGTATAGAACTTCTTGAAGTATGGAGATAGAGCGGCCCAGTCCTAACCATCGTTTCCAAATTTAGCCCATAAGTCGATCTCTGCTTGTGCAGGGGCGATAAAGGATTGGCAATTGATAGCGGACGAGCCTCCAAGGAGCTTTCCCTGTGGCTCGCTGATTGTTCGATTGTCCAGACCTGGCTATTTTACATTAGATGCTCCCATATCTCGAAACAATGGGCTCTCGGTGACTTACTTGGGGAACAGAACGGAACTGCTAATCGGCTTCGGAGCCTAGTAGAGTTGTCCAAAAAGCAGGAACCTGGACTCGAGGGTCATCATCACGGTTTACACCCGCTTCAAGAACAAGAACATGCACATCGGGATTCTCAGTCAACCGATTGGCAACGACCAAGCCGGATGTGCCACCTCCGATGACAACGTAATGAGCTTGAGTGGTAGAATCTTCGGAAGATGTCATCGTGTATAAAGATATTTCGATAAATAAAGAGTGGCTTATGTCGGCTGTAAGAGAGGTATAGAAATTTTCGTCGTGGATGAGCAATAAGGATACTAGCTATATAGAGAGTATCAGATTGAGTTCAAATCCGTAAGTATTTTTGAGCTAACACTACCTACTTATACTATATATTTTCATACACTCTACCAGCATGCAGCACGAAAACCCTTCCCAGAACAGGGAAGTAAGAAATTCACACATCGTCTTTTTAGGACAGGGAATCATATTTGATTCCAGTCTGACTGCATATCCAACGCATCTATGTGTTCTTTCGTTGGTTTGACATGATATCTACTGTTAGGCTTTCAGCCGCACAATAGAAGGCATACCGTGAGATCCGACATCTTTAGGTTCTGGTGATATTCTCTTGTAAGTTACTTAAATCTACGCTGCGTTCTGAAATACTCTGCGCATATTAGGAAATAATATCACATAAGGTTATTACTATAACATTTATCTGAACATTCATCTAGCTACATCTCAATTACAAATATGTTATCTGTTAGTTCATCTGCACCCATGGAAGACGACAACATATCACCAACAAGCTCACACAATTAATCATTCCGTACACATATTGCAAATAAACCCGCATTCCGAGATTATGTAAATCGTGAGAAATAAGTCAATTCTGTGCCTTTGACAAATAATCACTCGTGATACACATTCAGAAAATCCCATATACTCGGCACGTGGGGTCATGTTGGGTGATGTTGGTGCTGCGCCGTTGCCATTACATTCATGTGATTCACGAGCACCAATGTGCACATAATCACTCAGTTGCACCTGCCGATTCTGTGGATGATTTATGCTTGGCATTCTAGTATTGATACCTGTATATATTTTTGATAGAGAAAAGTGTACAAGTGTATGTTCTCTTTGAAAATGTTCTAGCATCCAGGTAGTACCTGCTGGTGTTGTGGCTTGCTGAAAATTTTTTCACAGATCTCATGAAGTTTCTGTGCGAGAATGAAAAAATGTTTTTGAGCAAGCCTCATAGTTCAGTAACAATATATATGCTGAACTTCCGTATAGGATTCACCCAACGGTTGCGGTTGCGATAATTTATTTATCGAAGAGCTAGGCCTACTTGACGTTGGTGGAGGATTAGTGGTCGGATGAGGAAGACGAGGGGGAGGAAATGTGTAACTAGGACACTGAGAATGAGGAGGAGGACGAAGGTGATCCTGGATTTGGTTTTGAAGGTTTTGAAGGACTGACTAATAGCGTCAGAAATTCTGGCGGAATTGGGCCATGATCCAACTTTCATATCGTCTGCAATGGCGAATATCTTCCTTCAATATCCAAAATGAATAGGCAAAATAGGCGGAAAGCATGGTAGAGGATGAAGTGATCTACAATTGCACTGAAATAAAGATCAAGCTAAAATTAAGCGATGATAGTGCGACTCTTTAAAGAAATCATTCTTTTAGGCGTGAAGAGGGGTAGAATTGTTTATGATATTGATCTGGCTTAATACGTCCATTCACTTCCACCTTTCATATATATTCCTGACAACGTGCTATCAGAATATGAAGGCTTGAGGGACAAAAAAATCGAGAGTTTCCTAGCGTAGTTCGCTTTCGTAATATACAGACTTTGATTGTTGGAAGTATGTTAGCCAATGAGCATCGTCGTCGTTGGATTAAGTTCTGAGTTTGTAAAATGAGGTTATTGAGGATCGTACTGAATGGTTATTGGACGAGTTATCACTTATTTATGTGGTCGTTATTGCGAGATATTTCATGGCATTTTGGTAGTAATTGTCGTCGCCGATCTTGGTGCACTGGAAAGTCAGTGAGGGAAAGTCAAAGTGAAAGTGGGAGACGAGATCAGGGAGACAGAGAGGAGACGAGAATGAAGTCCCTTCAGAAGCTATACATGCACTATGTTCATATGTTGGAACTACGAGAAGCATACACTCGTTTGATTTGTTTTTCGATGGTTGATTGCAAGTTTTAGCCAACAATGGCATTTCATGGTCACACACAAGGAAGGAGAGAGCTTGAGCACAGCGATCAACAGTATTGGTCCAAAGTTCCGTCATATTTGCTTTCGAGACTGGGACTTCCCCATTCCTTCTGACCGTATTTTCGAAAATCTAACTTGACAAAGAAATCTTCCCGCCGAACCATATCATCTGAACTTCCTAAGCCCCCCAAAACGTCTCACCAGGTGATAAAATCCTTCAAACCATATCTAAACTTTTTTCTCCTTTCGTGCTAATCCGCTGAGCAAAGAGCTTAATCCATCTGCGCTTGAAGAAGCGCTCGCACCTGTAAGCGTACCAGTTCCACTCATCAGTGATGAGATCTCGCTTTCCAAGGAAGCAAGTCCCGATGAAGTACTTGTTCCACTACCTAAAGAACCCAATGATGAGAGTCCGCTCTCCAAAGAGCCAAGTCCTGAAGTTGTCTCCGTTCCGGTACTATCCCCAAGAAGAGAACCCAGACCCGATAAGCCGGATGCGGATGCGAGTGGGCTGCTGGATGTACCCAAGCCGAGAAGACTGTCGAGTTGACGTTTATGAGTATTGGTAGGCGCGCCGGAGATGAGAGGGAGGGCTGCGATGATGAAGGAAATGTGGAAATGCATGTTGGTATGTTGACTTTTCGAGGGCTAGTTATAGCGAGGAGCTTGATTGATGAACGGTATATTGTGAATTGAGGTTGAGAGGTTGTATACGAAGTCTGCAAACTGAACGAAAATTTTCGATGTTTTGTTAGAGTAGGTAGCGAGTGATTGGAAAAGAATGTGAGTGATCTGATGAACAAAGACTGAAAACTGAAAGCCGGATCATTGCGAAACTATATACAACAGCCATATTAGACGGGGTAGAAAAAGAAAGTACATCCCCACGTTTCTGCTTCATCTAACATTCGAATAGAGGCGGACAAGGTCTGGCCTAGTCCCACTCTGTTTACCACAAGCTTTATTTTCTATATTAACGTTGGACAATTTTCCATATTTCAAAAGAAACACTTCGGAGGGCGATTATCTGAATTGCTGAATGAGCCTAATACCGAGGTATTTTTATCCCCGTTGTAGATATTTATGCGAGTGGAGACACATTTCTTTTTTTGTTCATTTACTTGAAAATTTCAAAGCTGATATTGAGAAATGAGAACAGGTGATAGATAGACCACTAGTGTGTGTATTGATTGAGAGGACATCTCCTAGCCTTCGAAATTTCTGACAATTCATTCTCGAGTTAACTCATGTCAGAAAATATAGTTTGCTGGATTGTTTCATCTCTGATAGATGATGGCAACAAATCTTATGATACGATATCTGATATATCAAGAGATATTCACAAGTCCATGTTTGCAGTATCCTGTCATTCAATATACCCAACGGTGGAAAATTCAATCTAGAATGTCGTCCGTAAAGCTCATTTATGAAAGCTTCCATTGACGTCACATTGTCCGAGTGGTTCAAGTCGTCCAGGTCCAGACAAAACTTCATTTCATTGTGTAGTGGAATCTTGCCACTGATGCCCATGGGAATGTGTAAAAGAAAACATGGTATAAATAATTTGTTGCCTAATATAGAATTGAAACATAAATGAAAGTTCTGCTCATCTCTCCATCCATAAGCATTTCCTGCCCAGCAATTTCCCATCTCAGCTTCAAGTTTCTAAACAGCACCAGTCAGTCCAGAAAGAAGGCCTGCACCTGCAGCTCCAGTTCCCGTAGCTCCAGTGGCTCCGGTGGCCCCGGCACCAATGGTATTTACACCGCCGGTCAAGCCACTGATAAGTGTGTCCTACATGGCTCATTAGTAACCATCATCAAGATGAAATAGCAAAGAGAAGACTCACTATTCCTTGAGCTCCTCCAGCATCAGCGGTGGTAGCACCACCTTTAGCTGTGGTTGCTCCTCCTGTGAGTTCGGACAAGAGGTCACCACTATCGGTTGAGATGCCTGTTGCTCTTCCTGTGAGTCCGGATAAGAGGTCACCACCACCGGTAGCTGTCGTGGTTCCTCCCGTGAGTCCGGACAAGAGGTCACCACTGTCGGCTGAGGTGCCTGTGGCTCCCCCTGTGAGTCCGGACAAGAGGTCACCACTATCGGCTGAGGTGCCTGTGGCTCCCCCTGTGAGTCCGGACAAGAGGTCGCCACCACCAGCTGAAGTGCCTGTTGTTCCTCCCGTGAGTCCCGACAAGAGATCACCACTACCGGCTGAGGTGCCTGTTGCTCCTCCAAGAAGACCACTGAGTTGTCGCTTAGTCTGCAGTATTGTTAACATGTGGTCAATGATATGAAGGGATATACGCATACGGGTGCGGCGAGAGCCAATGGCAAGATAGCGATGATGAGTGAGAGACGCATTTTCAATTCGGAATGAAAGTAGTTTGATTTATTACAGGAATTTTTAAAAGAATGTGATATGTCGAATAATGTTCGACAAATTTGGTTTGTGAAGATGGAGAATCAAACGAGGTATCTTGGTATGGTAGATAGAGAAGACGATTGAAAAAAGCAAGCAAACACATTACATGATCACCTACTTATAGAAGCCATCGTCCGATATTTTCATGATACCTTTGATTTCATGAGTCTGATAATTTGGAAATACTTCCCTCGGACCTCTCAATGTTCGGTCAGTCACTGACTTGTGAATGTACGAAGGTGCATTCTACTACTGAACACTGCCGTATGAATGTAATGAGGCATTTCAAGAAGACGGAACTTTGCGTTGTTAGCACAAGCACTTTTTGAAGATCTGAAGATCTGAGGGTCTGGGGACGCATGTGGGGACATCAGCTGAATGAGGCTTTTTTTGTTTGAAGGGTAGCGCTCGGACGTGGGATGGACGATATGAAACGTAATGGGGATACGGAGTTTTGATGCAGCCTTAATACATATTTCTTTTTTGGCTATGCAGATACAGAGTGGTGATCGATTGAAGATCAGACGATTCGTGAAATTAATATCTCAATTTGTTACGATTGGCATATGAAACTTAACCATGACATGACAGCAACAACGAGATCCAAGCATTCAATTCTGGATAATGAACAAGATTATGAAATCAAATCTAGAAAGACTTTATGCTCATCCAAACTCTAACCTGACACCTGATGTTTTAGCCTCAGCTCTTTGGCGCATTGAACATCAAGGCTGTCATCTTTCTGTTCGGTACTAAATTTGTACTGCAGCGAAGCACGTCAGATCACCACGAACTTGCGATTATACTTGAATATTAAGATTGATCTTGTATGGTACAGACTTAAAGTGGGCTGAGAGGACCAAAGGGTACTCAAACAGTGTCTATAGCTTCCCTCCGAGGTTGGTTGGTTTACAGGACGGACATATGGTAGATAATTTGGAAGCAATATGGATGGTAACCCTCCACGAACATGGAGAACCCATTTTGACATTGAAAGATCGTATTTGATTGCCTCATTCAGATACTGGGAATCCTTAAGGGAGGGATGGTAGATTAAATTGTATCTTCAACCTAAGCCTTCGCCGGTGGTTGGCCGTTGTGCTGTAGTCGAGCGGCGAGAAGTACCAATCCTCCCAAAAGCATCGTCGGTTCGGAAAACAGCAACATTCCAAGGTAACCTCAAACACCGAGAATCTTCCCATTTATAGGTGAGCCCACGACCCCGCTACTAGAGTTAGCCGAGTTTGGATCTCCGGGATAGTGAGCGGAAACTTACGCCGATGAGAGAAACGTCATGACGGAGCCCATGGCAATTCCAAATAGCGATGGCGGTACCAGCTTTGCTGCAAAAACTCCCTGAACACTAATAAGTGCCACTGAAGTAAATCTACAAGCAAGAGAAAACACGGTGATTCCAACTACAGAAGTATATTTGATCATGCATGTACAGACTAAGCCGGAGGAAACTGCCGCAAAAATGGCAAAATTGCAACATCCAAATCGATCCGCCAATAGACCTGGAATAATACGGCCAAGCAGACTCGCTGCATTGACAATGCTAATTGTATAGAGCGCAAACTTACCATCTAATCCAAGAGACAACGCCCAAGGCTCAATGTAAAAGAAAGGCGTGAAGAGGCCAAAGTAAACAAAAATAAAGTTCAACTGCGAGTAAAATGAGGACAGGATTCTTGACACAAGAGAAATCTAGGTTTGCCTTGGTATGATTAATCTTTTCAACTGGTGCTCTGACTGAAAATCACCCGACGATCAATAGAGGGAGTTCAATGAAAGCAACCATTCGAACTGCCCATCCAAATCCAACTTCGGTCAGAAGTTTGTTCAAACCAATTTGCCAAATAACACCCCCCAACTAAGATCCTGATACTACAATTCCGAGTGCCAGGCCTCGATACTTGGTGAAGTGTTGAGCGGCTATGGTAAAGCCGGGAAGAAGAATCGACGCAATGCCGATACCAAGGAAGAAGCCTTGTGCAAAAAAGAATTGGTAATAGTCTTTGCAAAGAGACATTATGAACAGAGCAAGCGGCATCACAGCACTGCCTCCATATACCAATAGCTACATCTCTCTTAGTTGAGGTTCCGATCATAGTGAACCTAACTTGCGTACCTTTGGGCCATATTTGTCAATTAAATACCCAGCAACAAGTTTTCCACCAAACATGCAGAAGACAATAAAAGATCCAAGCCATGAAATATCCGATACAGATTTGTCAGCGAGCATTTTTTCGCATAGTATGCTGTTTACCTAGTACTCACCTCGAGATCGAACTTACTCATAGTTGAATACTTGACGAAAATGGAGCTCTGAGAAGTCATATCTGATCAAGGTACATCGGAGGATCCATGCCTTATGGAATTGAAGCGAAGCCAATCAGGATATGTAGGGTAGAATGTTAGAGTAGGTTATGGTGTAGAATTGGTATGGTGGGCGGGATTGCCCACTAACCTTAAAGCCGATAAGAAAAGTGGACCGGACAGTCCGAAAATCCGCGGAAATTGAGGCCCTCTTCACTATGGACAACCTCGAACTAGTACTTTGATATCATCATCATGTACGATAGCCTCTTCCAATCTTTGCATACTCTCAATAACGCCTCCAATTAATCCATTTAACCATCGGACTTATCATTCGTCAAGATCCTATTTCGTTTGCATTGAATCGGCATGAAGCGGTCCTCACCAACCCATCCATGTCAGGACGGGCGAAAGAAAAAAATAGCTCGTCGACAGGACCCTGTCTCATGTCAATTTTGTCGTACCAAGAAACTCAAGGCAAGAACACGAGTCTGATAACAATACCGAATCGTATTCTGACCTTAACAGTGTGATCGCAACTTTCCATGCAGTAATTGCAGAGCTCGCAAAGTCCCCTGCGTATCAGCTATAGGTCAAGCAGACGTCCCAAATTCTCAGCCGATCAATTCTCTCTCGGCAGGATCATCAAGGTTAGTGCTACTGTTTCGATGCGCTTTAGTAGTCTTATCTGATTATTGCCACGATAGTCAAGGGATTGAGGAGTTGAACGCCCGCCTGAAAAGATTAGAGGAACTTCTAGAAAGAAAAGTCAATGTATCGGGAAGTTCGAACGATACCGCATCTGGTAGTGTTTTTCTCTTGCAAATATCCTGGTATCAAATCCGGGCTGACAGATACTTAGTGGTCTCGACACAAGAAACCCCTACAGAAGATACTCAAATCACAAATACAGTCTCGTGGTTGGAATCTGATGCTTTCGAGCACCGGGGTCTCCATGAGTCTACCAACTATGTATTTTCACCTCCCTAAAGCTTGCTTGTGAAATTCTAATCAGATAGAATCTTCTGTCTTACAATGATGAGACCACGCAAACTTTTGCTACTTCTTTTCTGGGTACGTCGACTGCTACTGTACAGACAGGTGTCGATGCACAAAGTTTATGTTCGCTTCCGTCTCGAAAGCATGCGAGAGTTCTTTTTGACTATTACGTTGATAACATCGTTTGGATCTACCACATAGTTCATATACCAACTCTTGAGTCTCATCTGAACAGGTTATATGACGATCTTGACCAGAACATACAGCCTCGAAACGAACATGTTGCTCTTCTCTCTGCAGTCTTTGCATTGAGTGTATATTTTCAAGGCGCTGGGCTTCTATCAGAAACTCATCGTTGGACTTTGCTGGCTCAAAAAGCACTGTGCGCTGCTAATTTTATTGGGAAGCCCACGATGGAGTCAATACAGGCAGTACTGTTAATAGCACAACATCTTCTGCCTAATATTGGAGGCATTACAACTTTCCGAGTCCTGTTTACTACGGCAATACATTCAGCACGTTCACTTGGATTCGATCATATTGATTCTACCCAAAGCAAGAAGCGGCGAGTCGGGAAAGAATTGAATTACGTTGAACTCGAGACTAAACGAAGGATCTGGTGGCATATTGTTTCCACCGATTGGTAAGTTCACTTGTACCGTCTTGCATTCCGCGTCTAACAAGTGTAGGATCATGTCCTTCATGAGTGGTCCGCAAAGCGGCACATATATGATTCACCCACAACAGATGAAATGCGATTATCCAAGCAATGTCAATGATGTCGACATTGGTCCCCCAGGAGACTATAAGCAACCCTCATGTATGGAAACTGATATGACATACTCTACATTCAGGTATCAGCTCTCGATAATTTGTCGGGAAATTGTGGACGCGATGCAAAGTCTTGGCTGCGAGATACATGAGCTGCCTTACGAAACAGTATTGAATTTTGATAGGAAGCTGATTTCTATGCTTTCTGAAATTCCTCCGGCTTTTCGTATCGATGCTAAAAGTCGAGCGCAATACAAAGATTTAGACGCAAAACACCCTTTCTTGGCAGTGCAAAGGACTGCGGGGCATTTTGGGATTCAGACCAGATTCACACGACTTCATCGGCCTTATCTTGCGCGAGGTGCCCATGACCCACGATTCTCGTACAGTCGAATGGTCTGCCTTCGTTCTGCTCGCTCAGTAATTGAACTGGGAACAGAGCTTATGAAATGGGGCAAGAAGCAAAATTTCCAGCCAATCAGGATGTGGACAGTGACGCATCACATCTTTGTGGCTACTGTCATATTAGTAATGGACTTTTGCTTGAACAAGGATGATCCACGGTCAGAGGAAAGAAAATCTGAGATAGTAGATGCTTTTAGAATGCTTGAAAGTTGTCAAGAAACCGGTACAATAGCGAGGAGAGGTCTTGAACAACTTCGAGATATTCTACGAAGGGGGACATCATCTACTGAAGAAGCTTTAGCCCAAGTACAAAATCACACAAATGCGGATCGCGATGCTTCAAGCTCTATAAATTCATCCAAGCAACGAAATTCGGAGTTTCGAATGCCAGAACCAATGACTACTTTTCCTGGCCTTGATATCAATGACCCATGTTCAAGAGCAGACTGGGACAATGTCGACTTCGATACTATAGAGGATATAAATTTTGATACTGATCTCTCAGCTAGTGACTTCGAAGCACTTTTTCTAAATGGAATGGCACCGCAATGTGGTTAAATTCCATTCAACAATTGTACCTTGGAATGCCTTCGAGCGGTGACCATTGTGATACAAATTTCCTCGAAGATGATTTTTCTCAATGTTTTAAACTTGAACTATTTACTAAACTTTCAACGATGGCACAATCAAAACTTCAAAATGACGAGGTGTTAGACGCGCCTTCCCTCGATTCCACTAAAATCACGTGATATGGATCAAGTTGGCGCCTCAGCCACGGTCAGATCCAACGATGGAAAGGCATCAAAAGTGGTGTAATGAATTCCAATTCGTTCGATTTATTCAATTTATTCACTGATTTCTGTTACGCTGAGGAGAAAATCTGGACATCAATGTCCACGGGTGGCCATGACATAGCCTGAATTAGTGTTGGTTGGCACAGTTGTGACCTGCGACGGATAAAATTTGAAACTCGCGAGGATTTCTCAGGGAAGCGCCAAACTACACGGCCAAACTTGATCCTCACAATTATTACTGTAGGCGTTTCGATGTTAGATATTCTGTCAAGATCAATCGTGATCACCCAACAAATGCCAACATTTGAGTTTGGAATCCTTATATATTCCTATGCTGGCTCCGTCCATTATCGCAACTCGTTTGTCACATACACAATTACATTGGCAGCTTCATTTAGCCATTCATTGTCTTAGAGTCTTTCATTAAGCCTTTTATCTTGTATATTTATCTAGTTCAACCGATAAAATGCCTTCCTTTGCCGAAAACCCCTCGACCGCAACCCTTCGAACTGCTTTTCAACTTCAGCACTTAGTTGAGGCTGGCCACAAAAGCGCAGCTTGTATTGACCCGAGCACACTGAAGATTATAAAATCCATCACCAGTGCTCAACCTGGAAAGGATACAACCTCACTCCGAACACCCAAATGGGCTAATAGCAAAGAAGGCTTTCAAAAGAAGCTTTCCTCGTTCGTAGACGGACTTGCAAACAATCTAGAAGTCAAAGGTCTTGATATTTCAGATGATTCGGACTATAGTGAGGAAGACCCTGATTGGCAAGAAGGCAGCGAAGGGAGCGAAGGGAGCGAAGTAGAAGAGGAATACGATTCTGAGTATGATAGCGATGAATATACAGAGTCAGAGGATGATCGCAACACTTTGGATCGAATCAGTGAGGACGAAGATGAGGATGAAGATGCTGAGCCGAAAAAATGCTTGGATGCAAAGCTTGGTGAAGGTATGGCAATTCCACTTTCTAATATTATGCCTGCTTAAAACTCGATGACTAACCAAGATAGGTATCATTCTTCATGAGATCGTCGGCCGAAAAGTAGCTCGCTACGGGAACAAGATTCTCAAATCAGGACGTAATCTTCAACTCTCCGAAGCAGACGCTATGCGTTACATTGCAACACATACCAGCATTCCAGTTCCTCGTGTCATAGAAGCCATTACCGATGGAAAACTCACTAGCATAACTATGGAATACATCGATGGCGAACGCCTGGATAAAGTCTGGAACACTCTCCCAGAAGATCAAAAGAAAAGCATTGCAAGTCAGATCAATGATATGCTGTTCCAGCTCCGCGGCTTGACGGGCCGATACATCGGCGGTATGAATCGTACCCCAGCTATTGATTCCCGACGCTATGACCTCGAAGGTGGCCCCTTTAAGTCTGAAGCTGAATTCAATGAATTCCTCATCTCAGATGCCTATGCTCAAGTGCCTAAATGTTTCCTGAAAATGGCAGAACATTCTCTTCTTACTAATCATGCCATCATTTTCGCACATGGAGAACTGGCGCCAAGGAATATTCTTGTGAAGGAGGGTAAGGTCGTGGCGGTATTGGATTGGGAGAATGCCGGCTGGTATCCTGAGTATTGGGATTTTGTGAAGAGCTTCAATGCAATGGATAGCAGATGTGCAGAGTGGTATGATTGGGTTGAGAAAGTATTCCCCGTGGGATATGAGCAGGAGTTTATGAATGATCGATTTGTGGGAACGTTGGTTAGACACGGTCATTCTTAGGTGGATGAAAAAGTGCTAAAGCTTTTCTCCGGTACGCTTTCTTTTGACGATTTTGGAATTATCCTTGATGCATTAAACATTCTTGTATGAAGATAGAAAGTGAAAGAGTTTGGCGTTCTGGTGCAGTGGCATTTTTAGTTATTAATCAAAGCATCCATTCCGCAATCCGATTATGCTTCCATGTCATTTGATCTCATACAGTCCTTGCGTTACTATCACTAATGTATCGATAGGAGTATCATTTAAATTTTTAATTTAACCTGCAATTCAGATATCATGATGTTTCCGCTACCCCGGATACCGTAGCTCAGAATACATCCTCAAAGAATACTCAGTCTATTCTTCGTTTCATGCGCTCCCTTCTCAAGTTTTCTTCCTCCCTTCTGCTGCTCTATTTTTCCCTCCTCACCCCCAACCCTCACACAAAAAACGTCTTTCCACCCTCTCATTGCCATCAACTTCAACACTCCACCCAATCTTTCCTTATCTATCCCATTAATTCTCATTTCCACCTCCTGTTCATTTTTATCAGATACACTCCCAATATTCCCAATCCTTACTCCCTGCCAAACAACCGTGATATCAAGCTTTAATTTTCTCATTTCCTCCTGCTTCCCTTCCATATCCTCAGTCCCAATCACATCCTCAGCATTATTCTCACCCTTTTCCCCACTATCCCGTCTCCGCATTGCGAACCTACAAGACTCTCTCAATGTATCCCTAACCTCACACTCCAAATTTTGATATGAGAAAATGGGGGATAGAGGAAGGGCTGCGAAGTGGGAGATCGTATTCGAGATAGCGCTTACTTTGGGAAATGATAAACAGGCCAGGGTTGTAGTCGTAGCAACTGGAAGTTGTGGATACAAGGGGTAGACTATGAAGGTTCTGATGAATGTATGGTTAGAGATGTGGGTAGGAAAGAAGATTGCTGGATGACGTGGTTTGAAAGTTAAGGTGTGTGAGGGGATAGTGGTGCCAAAAGGCTTTTGGGAAGATGGTTGGCTTTTGATGGTAAAGGTTCGTTTGGAAATGCATTTGGATGGTGGTAGAACCGTCAATGGTTGTTTCGTGAGTGGCCGGAGCATTTTGGAAGATTCAATCTTGTTGGGCTGGAAAAGACGTTGACAAAGTTCTACAATATTTGAGGAAGATGAGATTAAGATCAGTTCGCATGTGGTAGACAGAGCTTCAGAGGTATATATGTAACTTTTGTTTCAAATGAACATCATTCCACAAAGAAGGTGCTGAATGGTAGTATGACAAGATAAATATATATCCTGCCAATGTCTAAATCAATGTTTTGATAATGAGATGGACGTTGTACAAAAGTAAAACTTGGCACTTTGTGCTAGTCTAGGACCTCATTGACTGAGATAGTCTGAAGTCTTCTTGCAGGAGACCTATGATTCAAACTTATCTGATATCTTTCATTAAAGTAGGGTTTACAAGGCTATGAAATCTTAATGATTACCTTAATGAATAACAAATAGGTCGTCATTTGACAACGAAAAGATCAAACTCCCTTTCTGTTAACGGTTGTTCCTTTAACAATTCTTTGAGTTACAAACATTTTCATCACATTCAACTCATAGCCCCGCTTGTCTGTGTGGCTCCCCTCCCCTTTGCAAATACATCATTGTAAGCAGGTAAAGGACTATTATCATTAATATTAATGCTGCTCTTTCATGCAAGAATAAATTTAGGAGCTCATCAATGATAAAAACAGCCTAAGAAATCGCAAAGCCCAATAATTAGCCACCATTACCCCGGACACTCGCAATCAACCTTTACTCGACCATCTTCACCACGACAAAATGGACTACTCCGATAACTCCAGTACTATTCCCGAAATCGTTGTGCTTGTCCATTTCCGTCTTGTTGAAAGGTCGGCCCCTTTGGCTCGAAACCCCGCTCCGTTTTACTCCCAGCAGAATAGCTCCACAGCTATATTTGTACTTCCCGGAAATGCGACACTCGTTGATTTTGAGGCTACTGCAGTTTCTATGATTGATAATGATAAATATGGTATTACAACACGGGCTAGAAATCCCAAGACCGGGCTTTTATTTTCTGTAGATCTGAGCAATCTATTTGTGCAGTGGGCTGATGTTCACGATCGGCTTCCACCATTATGGATTGGAAATGATCAAGAGTTTGAAAGGGCTTTGAGAATGATGGGGAAGAGGGGATGGGTGGATAACTTGATCTACGAGATAACGGTAAAGGGAACTGAGTAGATAGTCGAGGACTCGTAGTGCAAGAGGGTGACAGGTCGTGGAAGAACAAATGATAATGGCAATGGCATATAAAAAAGAAAGGGTATTGGGATCATAGATCAAGGTATCTAAATGAAGACTTACAAGGCCCATTTTGCGCAACGAGGAACAGATATGCGAATCAACTTTCATTCGATAGCTATGACTGCGGAGTATCTCAAGGCTTTGGGCATTAGTCTCAGCAGTGAGCGACCAATGCAAAAAGATACAACTGAATCAGGCAATCAAATCTAGTTCCGCAGAGATCTACGAACTCAGAGACCCCAATTCTTAACCCATCTTCCGATCATTTCGTCATCTATTGGACTTAAACCTCTAAACGAAGGGCTCGCAGCCTGTGCATTCTCAGTAATCATTACCAATCTTTCCTCGTTAGCTACCCATTCAAAAAAGCCCAAAAACTTAAGTGCTGGGAATTTATATAGTTCGCCTTTTGACTTGGCGTCATGTTTCTTAAGTTCTCTGAGCCAATTCTGCAATGAGACTTCTTTGGTAACGCCAAGTAGTTGCTTGACCCGGGGATAAGGTCACTCCACTTGGCAAATCTGGGATTGATAAGATTGAAAGTTGTCAAGCCTTCTATCGTATCACTTCTATGTATCAGTTCAACGATAATTTGTGATACACTATCAGCCGGAATCCATTGAACAAGATCTTGAGCCCCAAGATCACTTGGAATCAATCCAAGTGCTTTGGAAGTTTGCAGTAGAATTGGGAACCAATCCCGAGCATTCTACTGCTTCTTTTCATCACCAGCCGGGCCACCAATTTGTCCACATCTTAACACATCAACGGAGATGCCGTGTATTTCTGCAGCCTTGTTTAAAATGCTCTCTGCTATGAACTTGGATTGTCCATAGCCCAGCATTGGCAAGTTAACGTCAGTGAATATCTGTTCCGATACTGGTATCTTGGGTCGGAAGGATGGCCAGCTCGCCAATGAGCTGATCGAACTCATGAATTGGATTGTCACTTTGCGCGGAGACAATAAAGACCAGTCGATGCAATTGCGAACGCCGACAATGTGAACCTTTTCGAAAGACTCGATGGGTAGATTGAAGTCGACCGCCCAAGCGTTGTGTAGGATCACATCAATAGTTTCAAGAAAGCTCTGGTAAATAGCAGGCTTCAAGCCAAACATTGGTTCACCAAAGGATGCTTTGACGAATTGAACTTTTTGAGCACCATCCAAGTCACCGAATTCCACAACAAAGTCTTTTTCGGCTTCGGAGCGATTAAAACAAATTATTCTCGCGACTTAGAATCTGCGATTAAAGCTTTGAGAAAATAGTATCCCAAGTAGCCAGTAGATCCCGTAAGGATTACTTGAAGGCCATCGTCATGAGCCTTGATGATCGTTTTTGCTTTCTTGACTGGAAAGTTGCTAGAATAGGTCTGTATGAGATCTTCCAAGTAGTTATTTGCTGATCCAAGAGTCTTGGATATCTGCTCTACGGGATCGAGCACTTTTGAGACGTCTTCAGGTTGGTATTCCATGTTGAAAATCGCTGTACAGAGGCTTTTTGTTGTGGAATTACCGTAGATTAATCTGATTGAGAGAATTGAGAGTTGTCTTTGGGAACAAGAGGCAGGGAACTTTATTGAATAGCACTAAAAATTAATCTAGGCCGAGGTAGGATAAGGTGTCATTTGCATGTAAGATTTGGTTGGTTCCAACTGTTATGGCTCTGGGTGAATAGAGTAGATTTACTCGAGTATCATAAGACCAACAATTTATGAATTCGCAAAAGGGTTCGAGTGGCATTCCTTTCAATAAAGTTGCTCAAGAATTCCACTCAACGCATGTGGTTGATTCTCATATCTTTCAATAATATCCTCGAGAGATTTGATAATCAGACCTCCCACATCAAGGTTGAATACCATCCAGCCCCAAATCGATTATTCCTTGCTGTACTGCCCCCATCAGTTTACCAATCCATTTCGACCAGGCTAAGGGAGCAAGCAAATGACCAGAGATTACAGAAAGAAGACTATTGGAACTGATGATTGTCTCTAAAGTGGAAAGCGGATCGAAGAATTCTTGAAAAAATTGGTCAGCAAGATCATCAGTGGTTGGTGGAATTCAGACCATCACTTGGGATCTGGCTTTCTTCACAGCAATCGATTTGAGTTGGCACAATATCTTCAAAGCTTCAATTGAAAACTAGAATAGATGACACTATATGTAAATTGACTTCGGTAGTTCTGTGGTTCTAGATGGGTGATATCAAGCATTCACTTGTTCTTTGGCTTAATTCCACGTCTTTGGGTAAAAAAACAGGGGAACTTTCCTCGTAGATACTCGCGTTGAAGTCGAGAACTTGGAAAATTTTCGTCCTCGTTCTAAGAAGGATTAACTACCTAGGTATTTTATGTTACTGGGAGCTTGCTCCAACAAAAAATAGTCGAATTTAGCTGGGTTGATTAGATCGGCAATGACCTTTTTGAAGTTACAAATCGATAGAAGTAGAATTTGCAATTCTCATGCTCAATGTGTACATTCAATCATGAAAGATCATAATGACTCAAAATGTACCGCTTTTTGTTGACAGCAGATTACATATTGAGGCATCTGAGGTCATTCATTCTGTAGGCTTTCCTTGAAAGAGCTCTACACGCATGATACCGGCGCATACACGGTAAACGCCATCGTGGTTATACAAGTAATTGCTCACCTCACTCTCTCCAACCACCATTGAAAGGCGAAGTTCACTACAACAGACCATCCTTATTGGCGAATCCCAACAAGCCTCGCAAAGAAGTTGACGATCTTGCATGAAAACCAATAATTTTGTTCGAAGATTGTAATATGCTACCAAACTGTCGGTACATAGACGACAAGAAGCATTCACTCGAAACTCCTCGACAAAAAGAATGACGAATTGCCCATACGCAGCAAGATACACATGAAGAAGCTTCAATGCGTTATAATTGAAAAAACAAGAAAACATCAGGACGACCACACTTTTTGATCAACCATGAAGCCCGGGATAGGAGAGCTTCGTGGAACAATCAAGGTGAAGGGACAGTTTCACCGTCAGTGCACATGCGACACCATGATTACCAACAATGAACTCTTGATCGAAGAAATTGAAGATCAGTGGATTGACTTGTGATGTGAACCATAAGAGGTTTGAATGACGATGATCCCGGACATCAGCGTAATGAGACGCTTAGTCATCAACGTCTTTAGGAGCCAGTTCGAAGCGGATGGTAGCTACTTAAGAGGAGGATTAGCTTCGAAGTTCTGCCGGCGGGACTATGATATGTTTGGATGGTCATTGGGAACCTCGACAAAATTTAAGGTTTTGGGTAGTTCACTGAATCCAATCTTCAGTCAACGTGTGATGCCACAACGGAATATGTAACTTGACGATGACTTCATCAACATGTTTATCTTGCGACATACGACATGGCATGACTGATCGCTTTTGATACATAAGGCTTATGACAGTACTTAGTTTTGGATTGGAATATTTCGGTGTAAACTATTTCTCCTATGAATATTGTGCTATTGTATGTGCTGGCTATTGATTTCCATGTCTCTTCTTAGATGGTAGGCCATTATCTTTAGATCTGCCATCACTTTCTGCTTTACCATTTCTTGACTTATCCACAGCCATGACTCGTTTATTCCCGGCCTCATCTATTGTATCTGAGACATGCCTCTTCTTGGGTAGTACACTATCGTCCTTGGATCCCTTATTGGTTTCTGCTGTACCATTTCTTAATCTCTCTATAGCCACTGTCTTTTTATCTCCCACTGCGTCTATCGCAGCTGAGCCATACCGCTTGTCAGGTAGTACATTATCTTCATTGAAATTACCGTCGTCTTTTACCTTACTGCCAACTCTAGGTTTCTCGACAAGTGTTTGTTCCTTTTCAGTCTCATTTATTGGCGCTCGATGTGTGTTCCTGAGTCTTCCGTTTGCTTCTGGATTACCAACTCTCGGCCTGTCACTAGGAACCAACTTTTCCTTTGCGATTTCATCTCCTAGCACTTGAAGTTCCCCTTTGGATTTCTCATCAATTCCTTTTTTGCCATTATGTCTTAAAGTCTCAGCAACGGCCGTCCTTGTCTTCGCGACCTCATTTCCTGACCCTCGAAGTCCTTCTTTGGTTCGTTCATCGATTTCCGTCCTAGTATTGCCTCTTGGTTTTTCAACAACAACCTGTTCCCTTCCGGCCTCACTTGTCGGTGCTTGCTGTGTGTTTTTGATTTTCTTATCAACTTTTGTGCCATGGATTCTTGGCCTGTTTTTAGAAATTTCCCCTTCGAGCTCATCTTCCAGCATTCGGCGTTCCCCATGGGCTCCCCTATCAAGATTCTCTCTACTGCTTCTTCGCATCTCAGTAGCGATCATCCCTTCAACTCCGAATTTATTTACTGGCCCTTGGTGACCTTCTTTTTGTCTATCGTCACTTGTTCTTTTCACATCATTCATTGGAAGCCTGTGTCGCTCTTTATGTCTTCCAAGTTCTACCTTGCCCCCAGGCTTTGACTTCTCCAGGGCTCTCTTCTTCTTCTCAACGTCTTGCAATAGCGCCATTTGGTCCTTTTCTGAATACAAAGCCTCATTGTCAATCTTGAGCCATTCACTGGGAAGGTCTTCGATTGTCCAGTACTGGGCATACCTGTTCTTTGTCGTCAATAATGTGTACAGTCTCTTCCGATGCTCTGCTTTAGTTTCCGAAGTCAACAAGATACTAAGATCAGGGGCCGGAGCCCCTTTCCTCTTCGAGTCCACTCGTGAATCAGCTCGTGGGTCTGATCGGATAGCTTTCTTACATTCTCTTGCAAAATTATTGCATTCGATGAAGGTGCTTGTATCCTTTTCCTGAATTTTTAAATACATTTTTCCCGCCGTGTCACTAGTGAACTTCCATCCATTACTTTCTTCAATTTCTTGGATCTTCTCTTTCTCCTGGATTTCACGTTCCCGTTCCTTAAGAATGCACTCCGCAATCTTGTCCTTCTCATCGCCTTTGAGTAAGATTACTGGGGGGAGTGGAGGCGTAGGATAGACTGATGGCAAAGGTGCAGCTTTCCCTTCATCAGAATTGTGGCTGTCTCGCCGAGAGTCATTTCCCGGCCTTGGGCGAGGAGGTTGTTTGTCGACCTGGGTAGATCGACTCGGAGAAATACTAGTTGGGGGGGGCATATTACAACGTGGAAGCAAAAAACGCGGACTCTTTGTGGCGGTGATTCTGGAATCGAGGCGATACGAGTGGAAAAGTACCGTAAGGCTAGCTACAGGAGATTATTTGTAATGATGCCAACACTATGTTATAAAGTAAAGCACAGGTTAGCATCCTCATTCAATTCAGGTCGAAGTTGAGATTCTTTTGAGTTCTGGGGATGGCCGCGAAGATAGATACTCGGGTTGCCCAATTATATAAAAGTTTTATGGGCAGTGAAACCATTGTCTTTGGAACTGCGAACGTTTTTGTGGCCAAGAAGTTAAGAAGGCGGCCTCGAGAATTCGTTGCAAGGCATGTATCTCACGGATAACCGCGCGCTACCATTTCGAGGAACACCTGCATAGATAGCAATGGCCAAATGTAAGTACAATGGTATTTGCTTGCCAGCCTTCAATTCAGGAAGACGGAGACCCCGCATGAGTAAAAGCTTGGGATATAACACCAAGATTTATGCAAGGATATGCAAGAAGATGCAGTTAAACTTCAGCCCTGGAAGGATACGTTCATGCGTGCACTAGCATCAAACACTTTTAGTTGCAGTACAGTAATTTCTGCCAAGAAAAGGGAAACTAAAAATGATGACGCGGAGTGAGGGGAGACTAAACGTAAGAAAACATGATTAATGTGTTCGTTGACGGTCACAACAGAAGAGACGGTTGTTTCCAATTTCTCCGAAGTATTGGGTGACTGGGTCAAAGGGCAGAGGAAGACAGACCTGCAGACAATTTCAAACTCATTTGTGTTGGAATGACGGCTGAGCAGCGTATACCGTGCTTCTTTGATCCTACATATCAGCTACATTATGCCGACAATAGAAATACGATAAGATATACCGAATACGGAACATGTAAACGAGCATTGGTCAATTTCCGAGCGAGAAGTGTCGAAAACTTGAGTCCACTGGTGGTCCAGAAATTGACTCCCTCTCAGGATCTCGGTATGCACGGAATGCGAAATTGAATATCACGTGATATACTATTTTAAACCAATATCATTGGATCATTTCCTTATTCATCAAAGCTTGGAAAGATATTATTCATCCATTTTCTCCAAATCTCCCAATCTCCCGCTCTCCCATTTGCTCCACTTTCTCCTATCAAAGTTCAAACCCCTCGAACCCCCTTCATCTCCAAAATAAATCTCCACAGTCGGAACATCTTTGGTTCCTGTTCTGGATTTTATGGTTATATCGACCTTATGCTTACGGAAAGTCATCCTCTGAATCTTACTGTCATCAACTCAAACTTGATACACACGCATTACCACACCTGAATCGCTATATATACATATATGTGTGTACACATGAAATCATCATCCAATCCCATCAGCATCAGTCTGAGTTTCGGTAATGTCTCACAGCATAATTCCGTGCACTTGGCGATCCACCAAATTCGTAAATCACCTTTCCTCCCAAGATCTCGGCATCCCCTGACGACTTGGCAGCGGCATAGTCAGAAATGAAAACGTTTCCAAGGTGAATTTGGATAGGGACAAGATGCTAGTGCAAATCAACTCAATTGAGGCTATGCTCAGTATGCTGTCTTTGAGCTTGGCATTTGACTATACCCAAAGATAACATAGTGAACGAGCGGAAAACATCCCATACCAATTTTCATCTTCATCTGATCTCGTAGGTCTTCTTCTATACACTCAAGCCTTATATTGGGATACATTCACTCTTTTGCTCCTCTGCTCAGCCGCTGTCATAGAAATCAGTCACTCTTTTATTCTAGATTTCAAACGTCAAACTTATCACTCCCTATTCATACTTTCATGTACATCTTCTACTTTTCTACTATTTTCACATCATGAAGCTCGATTCTTCTTTAATCTATGCGGCAAGCCTCTACGCTCTTGCTGGCCATGGCGTGGAGGGTGCCATCACACTTGATATCACATCTCCAGATTCGATCAAAACCGCAGCAAGCAACATAGCATATGATCTCATGTCATATTACACCGGAAACAATACAGGAGATGTGCCAGGAAATTTACCAGCGCCATATTATTGGTGGGAGGCGGGCGCTATGTAAGGTTTCCCCTAATTTCTTGATGGCACTGACTGACTTCTCAAAGGTTCGGAACCATGATTAATTATTGGTACTACACGAACGATACAACCTATAACGATAGTGTTCAACAAGCACTACTACATCAAGCTGGAGATGATGATGACTTCATGCCTCAAAATCAAACAAAAACAGAAGGAAACGACGATCAAGGATTCTGGGGAATGGCAGCAATGACAGCGGCAGAAACCAAATTCCAAGATCCTCCAGATCCAAGTCCGGGATGGCTAGCACTTGCACAAGGTGTCTTCAACACTCAAATCGCACGATGGGATAATTCGACATGCAATGGTGGATTTCGATGGCAAATTTTCACTTTCAACAATGGTTACAACTATAAGAACAGTATTTCAAACGGATGCGTCTTTAATTTGGCAGCGCGACTCGCTTTATATACCGGAGATAGCCATTATGCGGATTGGGCGGAGAAAATCTTCGATTGGGTGTACGGAGTAGGACTCATTTCTGCAGAGTACGATGTATATGATGGAACTCAAAATTCCGACAACTGCACAGATAAAGATCACAATCGTTGGACCTACAATACTGGCATTTACCTGCTTGGAAGCGCTGCCATGTACAACCATGTAAGCTTCATCAGGATTCCAATATATTTTTTAACGTGGATACTGACATTTTTAGACAAACGGCAGCGCTATCTGGAAAGAGCGCGTCACCGGCCTTCTCAACTCATCAACAGACTTTTTCCAAAATGGAATTATGGTCGAAGCGTGCGAAAGTGGTACTTGCAATAACGATCAACAATCATTTAAATGTTATTTTGGACGGTGGTTAGCTGCAACCGCTAAGCTTGCGCCTTTTACTTATGACACCATCATGCCTTTGCTATCTACAACCGCAACAGCAGCAGTAAAAACCTGTACGGCTGGAAAACGAGGCAATTCATGTGGCTTGAAATGGACCACGGGAGAACACGATGGAATTACTGGCGTCGGAGAACAAATGTCAGCATTGGAAGCCGTCCAAGGTCTATTGTTACCCCAAACCAGAGATTGGGTTAGTGAGGTAGCAGGAACCGGTACCAGTGAAGGTGATGCAGATGCAGGATCAGATTCGAGAGTGAGTACGGATGGAAGCGAAATTACACCCGTCACCACGGCCGACAAAGTTGGAGCTACGATATTTACCATGTTGATTGTTGCGGGTGTTATTGGTGGAAGCGCATTTTTGTGTGTCGAGTGGTTTTGAAATCCGTTGGAGGAAATCTATTATGTTTATTCCTGCATGTGAACATTACATTATAAAAACCATTACTCTAGTGGCACCGGCTGGGGTTGGGCATATAATCGGCGTTATGTATCGGGATAATCGGACAAGAGGAAAGGGATAGCGTTGGGAAGCAAGGCGTTTAACCCACAGGCTCGCATAGACAGTTTTTGCTATGAAACTGGCCGGTTTCTTTTGTTCTTCATTCAATTCGCCTTCAGGGCACCTTTTTTTTGTCTCTCGAAGCTATCGACCTGTCTTACCGCGTCTTTCGGGCGTCAATATCAGTAAAGAAAACTTGTAGATGAGTAGTTTTCAGATATGTAAAATTAAAATACTATTACAGGCAGAGAATAGAATACCTATCACTTGAAACAATATATATTCATAAGTATCAAGAACTAGATTTAATATTAAATAGCTTCTAGAATACCTCTGGTTTTTTTATTATTTTATAAATTATCTATTTTAATTAATTTCTAGAATAGAATAGTATAATATATAATATTAAATATATATTTTTTATAGTTATCTTTATATTTAAAATAAATTCTGTGCTTTATAATATAATTCTAAATTTAGAATTTGAAATCTTTGATTATAAATATTTATAGATATTCTTATAATTGAATTTTTAGGATTATAATAATATAATATCTAATTCTTATAATTCTTTTATTTTATTATTTCTTTAAATTATCCTATTACTTATAAAAAAACAAATAAATAAATATATAATAAAGAAAATCAGGTTTTATATATTCTTTCTTTTTTCTTCTTTAATATCTTAATTCTTAGGATAAGGATTTTTCAATATAATCTTTGGATTATATTATAAATTAATTAGATTCTCTTTTTGTTATAGGGATATTAATAATAAATAATTATTGAATAATAGAATAGAATAATAATTAAAAGAAAGTGATAGTAAAGCAAATAATACAAACGGTGCGAAGGGGAGTGAAGATTTGAGTATCATGAAAGGGCTAGAATACCTATTGATACTTCGCCTGCGTATCTAAAATCTCATAAACGCCGGATGAAAACGTAAGGAAATTACAAACAGACCGTGTTATGTACGAACTCCAACACCGATTGTATCCCAAGTAAGAATAAACCGCTAGATGTAAGAGGAGCGAAATGAAAGCTACAAGCAATGGTATTATGTTTATCGAAACTAAGATATCCTTTCTCCTGAGAGGCGATCTGGTTACCTTCTCTGGCTGTGTCGTCTGGGTTTCTTCAGATTGTTTCCTAATAGGTATAGGGAAGAGGCCCTGTACGCCTGTGCTACCCTGTCGCTTAAATTTTCCAAACTTTAGGTTCATTGGTAACGCAATATCTTGACGAAACAGAAAACCACAATTGAAATGACAGGCCTACTATCTTTACACCTACATACCTTTCACATTTACATAGTGATAATGTAAAATGGAGGGTCGTTGTATTCCTCCTTCCAGAATTTTCGGCCAAGAAGATAGAAATGGCTAATGCTCCAAAGCTTATCATCAGATTGAATCCATTTGCAGAACCTTCTTTCGCACGACCCTTCATCGATCCATGTATTCCGTTATGTTGATTGACTGTGCGACGCTGTATGACTCGATTTAGGTTCCATGGTCAGCCCACCACAACCTCGTTACCGTTCGCTGATGTATGGTGGCAGGTGGGTAGTGTATTAAACTTTTGAGTGTCCGGCCAGGGTAGCATAATCGATTCGAACGTTGAGACAATTTAATCAAACCGGTGTGTGACGGACGGCAACTCTTGCCTTGGTGGAGGAACAGTAAAGGAGTCCTTCTCTTGGTATCATAGACCGTCTGTAGTATTCATGCTCGAAAAACCTTAGGTATCTATGTGAAAGACTCAGTCCCAGACACCTTGACCAACCGAAAGAATGAGATGGCTACACGCATGATTATTCGTTTGATATTCTCGAAATCTTCGAAAGCTTCGTCATCGTGGAGGTATCGTGGAGGGGTAAAATGATGTTGAATTTGTCTAGTAGAAGAAGCTGGGAAGATTTGAATACCTACCTACTGCAGACTAGCTACATACATAATAGCCGTTGGAAATCCAAGAAGGATTTTTTCCATCCGATTTCGATCCCTGTGAAGGAACTCCACGGGATGGTCCGAATAGTGTACTAATGGATCATAGTAACATGGTACTATCGTAGGACCAATTCACACTACTGCACCTCCTCTGCAGTCCTGTGCACATGTTCCTGCAAAAATTGCATTATCGAATACCATAACGAGTTAGAACTTCCTTCCAAGACTCCATTATGGAGAAAAGACGGTCACGAAGATTGCTACTCGCATGATGGTCGGTGAAGGATATGAAGCCCGATGAAGGTAAGACTGACATTCCAGATTCTCTCAATTCCCCAATCATGAAATTCTATGTGAATAATTAATTCAAGAGAGGAATAGTCTTGTCACCACGTCAGAATTGTTCGCATTCACAACCTAGAGACTGCATATCCTACATAAGCTACCCAATAAAATGTGGGGTATCAACACAAATTCATCGCTTGCGTACAGGGGCTTGACTTTATATGGTCGGGGTCTTCATTAGACTGATCAGATACTGCATCGATTGCATCTTGCATGATCAGTTAGTTGAATTCCGATTTTTTTTGGAGAGAAGTTATTATTCTGAACTTGTTTTACATTATTCTCTAGATTTCATGTTCATATCTATATTCACATTATTGTACAAAGCTCGGATTAATCGTATCATCATCGTACTTACATCATTGATCGAAACTCGTACATGCTAAAGAACGATATCAATATCAATACCAACATCATTCAGATATATATACAGCTTTGAGGGATTTATCTGCCCCAAATATGATTGATTTAAATGATTTAGTGGATGAAAGAGCCTTTGGTCACGATGTCGAATCTTTACAAGCAGCAAATGAATATCTCGAACGATTGCTTTTTGCGACAGCCAGGAAACATAATCAGGTATGGGAAGAGTTAGAATCAATGAAAGAATCCTCTGGTATTTACGACAAATCATTACCATTCCTCTCCTTTCCCCGGGAAGTCCGCGATCAAATATACGCATACGCTCTCCAAGCAACTCGCGAAGCCTTCGTTGGAGTTCGACATATTAGAATGCTATCCTGCGACACATTTCCAGATTCAACACATTATCCTTTCAAACCTCCTACGCCTGGTTTACTTCTTGTCAACAAACAAATATATGAAGAAGCAGTGCAAGTCTTATACTCATGCAACAATTTCTCCTTTCACCGACCGAGGGAGCTATTCGATTTCCAAAACCAAGTCGGAGTGTACAATTGTGGGCTGGTACGACGAATGAAGATATCCGTGGTGTTCGAAGACGAATCTATGCATATGCCCTCGGAATATGTCGCACCGTGTGATTACGAAAATATTCCTTCACATTGGGCGAAAGCGTTATTGGAGTCGAGACTGATGAGCAATATTGTTGGGATGCAAATTGACGCCAATACTGGATCACATGAGATACGTTTGATGACCATGCCCCCATCATTATACCGCGCGATCATCGCCACCTTTTCGCGGAATCGGAGCTCGAAAACGGCACCGGAATTGATTTTGAAAGGATTCCAAACTCAAGAGGTGGATAAATTTCCGAGACATTGGAACAAGTCGACGGAGCAGTGGTTGGAAGTGGAATGGGCATCGAACGAGCAAGAGCTGGATGAATCAGAACCTTTCTGGAATTCTTCGGAGGCTGATGTTGCCGAAGCGCTTAGTTCATGGGACGAGAGAGAAACATCTGATAATGAGGACGGGGAATCGTTTGACGGAGGCTCATCCTATTTAGGTGGAGGCTCGAGCACGGGGAAAGCCAACGTACCGACTTTATTCAACGAACTCGGAGAATTGATGGGATCGGACTATACGGATTCAGACACGGACTCAGATGTAGGCTCGGAAGATTCATTCTATACGGCGGCACCGTGGAATGATGTTAAGGAAGTGTTGTTGCAGTTTCGAAGTTTTCAGGAAGCTGGTCAAAGACAACAAGGAGGTCTTTTGAGCATTTGATAAAGTTTTAAGTGGTGAATAGGAGGGGGGAGATAACATTTTCGATGCCGATACTGGAAAACTGGAATATTTGAGATGGTGTAGCGTCTTTCTTGTCTGCTTACTCGGAATTTTGGATTTTATGGCGCACCGGAAGGGAAATTCTTCGTATTGCTTCAGACAAACAAAGAAACTCAGGATTCAGGGTGGGAAGATGTCCCAGGGGTTGGCAAGGAATGGTTGTAGTCAACATTATCAAAGCTCGGTTCAACATAGTGCTTTTAAGGGAGTTTTGGTATTGATATCCATATTCATATTCATAGTGTCCGGAAACTATATAAAAAATTCACTACAATATATATATATAGCATTTTCAATTGTTCGTTCAAGATTCATTAGGCTATATACATGTCCATTCATTATTCGCATATCTCCATTCAATCTACACGTTATCATTAATACCCATTACTCGACCAGACTCGTCAAGAGCCACACTAGTCTTCTTTGTGCTCTCTTTTCGTGGATTAGGAGCATCGAAAATTGAAGCCATTTCTTCTAACGTCTTTCCAGCTGTCTCGACAAAGAAGAAGTAAATAATAGCTAACTCGACGCAAATCCACGCAATATACACCACGTATAATTTCCATCCAATAGCAGCAATACCCACACTGATACCATAGGTATTTACCACCATAGCAATGTTCAAGAAAAGGAAATTCAATCCCGAACCCTTGGCACGAGTGCGATTTTCCAAACACTCTACAGCGTAGAGCGTTTGCAGTGGTGTGAAACCCCAAGCGAAGATGACTCCGAAGAGGAAAATCGAGACGATGACGCCGTAGGAGAGGTTAGGGTGATCTTCGGATGCCGCTGTAAATGCAGTGAGCATGATGTAGGCGAGCAATCCTCCGGTAAGTCCTGCTAACATCATGGTTCTGCGACCAAGTTTATCGAGGAGGGTGGCTCCGTAAACTGCTCCCATCATGGAGAAGATGGGATTGATGGCGTTGATGAGGAGTTGTTTGTTGGTGCTTGTGATACCCGCGTTTTTGATCATTTCAGGCTTTTGTGGATGTTAGCGGGAAGTAGAGAAGATGATATGAAGAGGGAATCATACCATGAAATAAGAGACGACGTTATTGCCAGACCATTGGCCAATAAACGACATTCCGATCACCATATACAAACGATATCTCGCTCCACGGGTATTGACCAACTCGCGGAAATCCCACCAGGGATTGTCGTTTCGGGTCATCTGCAATTGTTCGATGATCTCATGGTATTGCAGTTGGACGATGGGCGACTGTTCATCGCCATCTCCGTGATACTTAGCAAAGACTGCGAGCGCCTCTTCTCTGCGATCATGTGCAATCAACCAGCGAGGCGATTCTGGGAAAAACAAAATCAACAGCATCACGATAGCTGGAATGCCTGCTTGAACCAGCGTTGGCACTCTCCAGGCCCACGAATCCGTCAAATTCTTGTTCGATCCGTAGGTGGTCCATCCAGCCAATATATTACCCAACCACCAGAAATTATTGTACATTCCCGCCATCGTTCCTCGATAAGCAGGGTGCGCTAACTCGACTGTGTAAGCTGGGCCCGCAGCAGATGCAAGCGCGGCGCCGAAACCGAGGACGAATCGTCCGCCGATGAATTGGCCTCGTGCGTGTGCGGAGGCTTGAATGGCGGTTCCGACGAGGACGATGAGACACCCGATGAATATACACATGCGACGCCCGTAGCCGTCGGCGAGAAGCCCACAGAAGGGAAAGGCGGCAATTTGTCCCATGTTGTAGATGATGAAGATGACGCCTGTGGAGGAACCGGCGCCGCTGAGGCCGAAGGTTTCTTGGTAGGGAATCATGGCATTTATACTTCCCATGAGAGAGGAATCTGTAGGTCTGTTAGAAACGAGTGCGCATTTGATATACTGTCTTGATTTTATAGACATATTGAGAATTGGACGAAAGGGTATACATACCAAAACCATTCATGGTGGAAACCAAATAGCCAATCGCCATGATTGCATACAACTGTATCATATTTCGACTCAAGAGACGAGGCTTTTGCGCGGCGACGGCAGCGGCCAAGGCGACAGATGCGGTGTGGATTTGGGTTACTTGCCCATGGGCTTCTTTGGCATCGATGTCCATTGCGCTGGGAATCTCCTGGAGGGGCGGGTGCTCGCCGGCGCCCGTTTCCAGATGTTCTGCTTCGTGTTTGGACATGGTGAAGGAGGTGAGCGAGGATTGTCCTCTGGGTGCTGAGAAGGGCGAAGACAGGTGAAGACAAAGGTGACGGATGGAGAGAGACAGACAGGATAGTAGAATCTATAGAAATCATCGCGAAAAGAAGCGCAGATCACCTTCCTCTTTATACTATTTGCATGCATTGCTTTGCGGGGTTGGTGTTACATTGTACATATATTCTAGATGCTCTTTTTCATGAAGTGTGTGGAGTCCCCGCACGAATACACCCCCATTTTTACCCCAGGCACTGGTGGGATATCGAGGATTTCTTTCGAGAGTCTTTACGAGGGAATTGCTTGTACATTTGTTGACTTGCATGCTCGTTTGTCTTAGCTCCTTCCAGAAATCAGGAACTTTCCTGCTATGAAATTGCCTTCCTGTCAGAAAAGAAAGATAATGTTGATTCACCTGACTCGATTAGTATATTCCGGCCGTCATCCCCGAGCCTAGTTTTTTTACTCTTGGCTGCTGCGATGTCGAGTGGAGTGTCTCGAGTTTGGAGTGTGGAGGACTGGGGAAATAGAGCGAGTTTGTACCGAGGCTTGGGGGAAGATCCTTGTACGTATGTTGTGCTTGGACCGAGCATGGTAAGCTGAGAACTTGAGAAGATTCACAAGACTGCTGGAATTTGCTGGAAAATTGGGCTAGGTTAATGTTCGGATATCTTTTGATGGTAGAAATCCAGTAGAGATCGAATCCCCGTTATTGGGAAGAAGACTTAAGCGTTGATGGTTAGTTTGTGGAACACGACAGAGACGCGCGAGATTGCAGCGTGATGTGACATCTCAACGAGAGATCCTGAATCCCTATCGATTCTCGAGTGGCATGCGATGAAAATCTAATGAGATGCTCGTAATTTGAGTGAGTATGGTCATTGCTCCTTCAGTGACCTGGCTCTTGGTTCCAGGAAGTCGGATCGATAATAACTCAACAGCGGTCTGTTCAGCTGCCCAGAAAGATCTCAAAAGATGACATTGATAGTCTTCCCATCCAATGAGTACCAGGCTCATAGTTGGCATAAGCAGTAAGCCACCGACTGCCACTGCCTCGGCTCAGTCTGCTGAATCGCTACGATTGCCATGTAGAAAAAGGTTCATGCTTCGAGCACGGACAGATTCCTGATTTTGGAGTAGCTTCTTGGAAATATCTCAGAAGTCCAGCAGGATGAACAAGTAAACTATTCCATTTCAGCTAACCAAGAGTTTGGCAGTCATTACTTCGATACGAAACCGGATTGAAGAGTGGAATGTTGAACTTTGACATCGGGTCGTGATATCAGGTAGCGAAACTAGAGTTGTTGGATTCTCGCTTCGGCTGATGAAGGGGCTTGATCAAAGCCGAATTTAGGAAATCACTACGGAATACTACGTAGCTACATACTCAGTGCTCCTTCGGGGGATCTGGATATCTATAGTGCCATCACACCCTCTAAAGTCAATGAGATATGAAATGGCTTTTCACTAATTTTCTGAAAGGCTTGCACGAGTGTTTGTCCTCGCAACAATTTCGGATGAGAAGCCATCATCGTTGCTAGCTCTCAATTGTTGGATGGCAAATTCTTTCACGCGGAGTGGTGTGTGTAAATTAACAAGAGAGCGTAACAAAATTCCCTTGAAATTAATTCGGGGCGGGAAGGGCGACATAATACCATCTTATATTAAACAGCATTCGAAACTTGCATTGGTACTCCATAGCTCCTGCCCTTGGCCAATCAAATACCTCGGAAATTGCAAATTCCGAACTTTCAATATATCGTGAAAATCTTCGTTGGTGGTTATCGTCGTATTCACGTGATCGTCGTTATTAACCTTAATCGAAGAATCTTTGTTCTTGTGACCTACATCTCCAAGACATCGAATTGAAGACATCTGCAACAATTGTCCCGAACACGTACCCGTTACTCCGCTTCCCGACAATTCCCGATCGAGTCCCTTCCGAATGCTTTATCACGGGATTAAATGGATCACGTGTAGATAAGGATGGCCGCAGATCATGGATTGACAAATAATGACCTAGAATTCAATTCTCCAGATCGCTTTACTCAGGCAGGAACCGAAAGGAAGAGGGCGAGAAAGGCTTGTCGGATCTGCCATTCGCATAAGGCAAGATGCAGTGGCACAACGCCGAATTGTAGGAGGTGTGAACAGAGAGGATACATATGTGAATATGAATCTACAAGTAGAGGGGCAAGGAGGAGTGTGCCCAGACATCCACCACCTGGAACAAGCCAAAATGGCGATAGTCCTGGAGCTGTGGTAAATGCTGCCTCTGCTGGAGGAAGTCCGATGGAGGTTGGAGATGGAACAGATGGCTTAGTGTGAGATCCTGAAGCGGGGGGGGAAATTCCGAGTCAAATTTACTAACACGTCTACTTAGGGATCTTGGAATCTCAAAAGCTACTACAAAGCGGTACATAGATGCGTATTTTGAATTTGTCTCTTCGACGCCTGGCAAAGGTTTCATTCATCGAGCCACATTTCTAAGAAATTGGAATAATGGTGCTGTAAATCCAGCTTTAGTCAAAGCCATGTGCGCTTCATCAATAGCGTTTGTCTCAAGAGATGACGAAAGTCGTGCTGCAGCTCAGAAATGGATGAATGAAGCGGAAAATTACGTTTGGCAAAGTTTAAGCAGACCTTCTGCCGTGTTGGTGGAAGTTCTTCTTGTGATTGTCTTTTATAGATTTGAACATCGAGAATATTTCAAATCACAAGCACTTACCGCTGTAGCAGCAAAAATGGCATTCGTATTGGGGCTGAATTATGAAAATAATGGCCTGTCAACTTTGGTGAGAGAATGCAGGAGGAGGTTGATGTGGTCAATTTTCCATGTCGATAGACTTTCTGCTGGAGGATTTCCGGAATTACTGGTTTGTCCTTCGCATTCGATGCACATTCAATTACCTTGTAGTGAAAAAGATTTCGATCTTGGTATACCGGGAGAGACTGCTCCTTTGATACCGTCTAGAACGAATGAGTCTAAATCTATGCACTTGGGTTTGAGGTCATTTTATTTTCGAATATCTGACATAAGGCATCGCATCCTAGAGTACGTTTGGTTGGATACATCACATTGATTGAAATCTCAAGCTGATAATGGTTGTTAGGTACACGAGGAATGTGATACGGGACAAATCAAATCCATACGATTCGCGAGACATGTTACAGAAATTAGAGGCTGGATTGGAGCAACTTCGTTCTTCACTACCGGCAAACCTTCAATATAACGAAGATAATCTCTTCCTCCGAGCATACTCACCACAACTAACGAGATTCGTTATGTTTCATGTTTTATGGCAACAGTGTCATACTGATCTTTACCGATTCATGTTTCCGGGAACCAAAGACTCGATATCTGATACAATATTGGAAAATACTCCTCAGGAATACGTGCAGTATTGTCAAAAGAAAGCGTTCGAACATGCTGTTATAACATTGGACATTTGCCACACAGTACAAAGTATCGGGCATACATTGATTAGTGATACAGGAATTGCAACATGTGTATATCAATGCAGTAATATAATCATAAGGACGGCAGATATTGTGGGATTTTCGAGCGAAGATGAGAGATCTAGGATAATGGGTCGGTTGGAGAAAGTTACCGATATCTTAGAAGGGTTGAGGGAGGTCAACACTCATGTCGATGATATTGTAAGTATTTGATTTCTCTTCAGTCCACTCTTGTAACTATAGGCTTGCATACATTTACTGATATCATATCATTTATAGTATCGCAACGTCAAAGAAATCCTTCACCCCTTCAAAACCTCTCAAACCCGCCGACTCTTCGCCACACCGTCTCTTAGAGTCTCTGCGCCTTCTCTCTTCACCTCTGGTGTAACACCAGGTCCTCTCTCTTTGGACCATGTTAACTACACAAATGGTGACAGCACACTACCAAATCACAATTCCCTCAATCTCAACACGACAGGCGTCCTCTCGCCCACAACTGAAAGCGCTACAACGTTGGGTCTGCTAGAGATTGGAAATACAAATGATCACTATGCAGATTGGAATTCTGGCAACACAGATGATGGTGGCCAATGGATCAATGGAATAGACTTTGGCCCGACAGGAGTGGGGAGTGGGATTGGGATGGGCACAGACATGGTTGGAAATTTCGGGGCCATGTTTGACCCATTTTGGGGAATTCATGATACGGGTCGGAATGGGAACGGAACAGATCAAAGTGGTAATAATATGTGATTTGGATAGTCTATGGTGTGCTACCAAGTATCAGAATATCCTTGTGGATAGTTTTGTGCTGAAAGGTACATTACATAAACATTGTCTATCCGCTCTGTATGTATTGGGCTCACGAGACTTTGAGCTTGAGATGTCTAATTGGGAGGGTGTGAGATTCCTGGACAGTCACTAGTAATCACGGGTTCTTTAAATAATCATGTAGCGATAAAAGAAGATGTATTATAGAGATGTTCATTCTGCTGATCAGAAGAGCGATGTTGAACAATGTCATTCTGGAGTTCAAAATATATGATACTTCGAATTTCTGTATGATATCTACGATTGATTGATTGATTTAGCGACTGTAGAGGTCCCATAGCTGTTTTTTGTAATTCAACAACCATTATATGCACCGAAACCCAAAGAACTCCTCATATCCCATGATGATCACAAAGTGATTTACTTTCGGAAAACTCCACCGATCCAGTAAACCTCCAGCGGCATGCCCCAAAGTCCAGAAGCCACGACAAGAGCCAATCTACTTCTACACCCGAGCAGTCTCTCGTTCTTCGAACCATTGTATAGTATCTCTCGCAATACTAACGTCAGCTTTTTGATAATGGTCGCTCGGCGGTTTCGCAGCCACGACTTGAAGAACTCGAACAATCTTCAATTCCCTAATGTCATTCTTAAGAAATTGTGCGAAGATCTCGTTGAATTCGACTTGTCGTCCAGCTGGAGAGGGTAGAGCTCCCCAATGATCAACGTGCACTTCTAACGTTAACTCATGTAGACCGGAGCAGAACGTGTTGATGAGCGATATGTAACATTTCATGCTTGTGATGAAGGCATCGTCACACTGAAGCCTGCATGTGTTTCTGCTGCACTCGTGGGCTTTGATCGTTCCTTCGAATCGTAACTTCTTAATGAAGGTTGAGTTACGTATCCGAGCGTGGTAAAGAAAACGAATGAAGGGATCATAGTAGCACCATCCCGGAATTTATGTGACGATGGATTTGCCTTGAAGTTGCTGGATGGCTTTGGAAATTGAGATTTTGTTGATCCTAACTTTGCTTGGTTCTGGTCTAAATGCCCATTTTCCAGTCCATGAGGGGGAACTCTTTTCCGTGGTTTCACTTGCCATGCCAAAACAAAATGTGTTTTGTCGATATAGCAATATGGATCCGACTTCGTGTAAAAGTTTGCAGGTTCGAAGGATTGTTGCATCGATCTGTGGACGAAGAATTCTCTGGAGCTCAACATACTTTCCTTTCTTATCACGGAGAGTCCTTCGTTTGAAGGATACGTGAGAATTGTCGAAGTATGCAGGATTATATGGCAATGGTCGATGGCCATTATCAGAGTAGTAGGGCTCGAAGTCTTGCCCAATGACGTTGATCTTGTGACTTGGCTCGATATATCTCTTCTTCCGGTTAGTGGCCAAAAGATTTGGGGAAACTACAGTTCCAGGAAGCGCGACTAGAGCGTGTTTGAAGATATTATCTAGAATGTCTATAATCTTTTAGTGAATGGGTAGTCACAAGTTACGGAACAAGAAGATAAGTACCTCAAGGAAAGTTCAGGAAGTGTGTTTTAGAATGTCTTGGGACATTCCACTGGTCTTCGCTCTTGTGTTTCAAGACTTTCCGAGCAGCTTCTTTGGCCTTGGCCATACGACCGATCTCCCGCTGATCGACTGGATATTGTAACTTGTTTCAAAACAATCGATTCCTGTCATTTGTCTCCCCCTCGAGGAGCTTGGTAATACAGAGACCTTTGTCTCGAAAGTACAGAATATCTATTACCCATCAGCATTGGACATACCCTCTTAGCCTCTCGACTATACGTTCACCTAAACATGTGACATAACATACCTTCCGCAATAATATATCGAACACCATTCATCTTGAATTTTGCCCATTTTATCCAATTCTCGATGACATACTTTTGAACTGCAGTCTCAAGGTTGTCTTCAGGATATGCATTCAAAACGAATGCATTGAGCTCAGCGGGAGAGACAGGTTTTCGTGTTGATCGAACCATAATGTAGTAAGTAGTAGTTAGATGCTTCGTGTGGGTACAACTATTATGTATGTATTTGAAATGATGAAAGAGATAATTTTCTAGGCAAGAGAGTCAGAACATACTTATATTTTATACAACGCAGAGAAGTCGATACCGTAGTTATTTAGTGTTAAGGCTAGCGATTTTAGAATGCCGTATATAGACGTACAGAAAGCTTTGATATATCAACATTCTCCAATGAATGTGGCTTTTATACAGCCAGCTAGCCCCTGCTTGTTCCTTCAAGTCCACTTCTGACAGTACTAAAGACCTACTGCAGCTTTTGTATTGAAAATTTGACATCACAAGATTGATTGAAGAAGTGAAGAATAATACGATTCGTTACACAAGCAGATGTTGTGAGAGGGGAGTCGAATTGACAGAGAGTCAAACGTAATAGTGAATACCTACTCAAAGAGAATCTAAAAGTTTAAAGCGGTGAATTAAAATCAAACACGTGGAACGTTTTCTTGGTTGAATAAGTAAGAGTGGTGCTAAAAGCGTTACCTGAAATATAGAAGGCCAGTGACCTCACGATGCTATATGAATTATATCTATACAAGGACGATATAGACCGTTATCTATTACCTCCCTGAGAGCAGGGAAGACTGGAGGAGGGGTTGTATTTATGGGGTTTCTCAAATATCCACGAAGGTCACATGCATGAGACAAGCAACAGTATATAGTTGTTCCAAACTGGGGTATCATCATCTGATCATTAACATCTAAACTTCATAAAAACTAACAATCAAGTCGCTTCATTATAATTCCTATCAATCAGGACTTCCTTCCCCTTTCTTCCTCAACAAAACCACATGGTTAACCATTAGCCTCATTATACATACACTTATCTACATTACCGCTTGCAGCATTTCCAGCCCACTCTGGGAATGGCCTACTAACACCGCTTCCTCCCGCAACAGCGAAAGTGAGGAGGAAAAGCATGACTTGAGTTCCACCGTCAAGACCGGCGGATACCAAGTAGTTCCACTTGACGAAGTATTTTGGTCTCCATTTTCGGAGGTAAAACTGACCGAATGCTCCGATGTAGTAGTACATGAAAACACTGGCATTGATACCAACACAAAGATATCCAAAATACCAAAGAATAATGGAGAGATTGAGGTATGACCAAATACGTTGTCGGGGGAAATATCTGTTGAGAAGCCAGAAAGGAACAGGGACGAGGAATCCGAGGAGATATGCGATGGTGACCCATTGGTAACGAGCACCAATAGAAAACATCTTAGGAGCAATAGACCAGGCAATTGCGAGAGAGTTGAAGGATTGAACATTAGCTCCTGACCAAATGGGTGTTCCTTCGATAGTCAGAAGATTTGGAGCTTGATTCTCGACGATGCTAGAGTTTGTTAGTTTGCGAAGAGAATGAGCGTGGAAAAGGGCCAACTTACGTGATCATCATGACGTAATTGAGACAAGCCCCAAAGATACATCCGATTATCTGCGTTGTATATGTGACCTTTGGAGAAAGCTTGCTCTGCTGAGCAAGCTTTAGATCTCGGAGGAGATATTGTCCTTGTTGCAGTGCATTGAAAGTGAAGGTAGTGAAGTACATGTTTGCTAGTTTCATTGTTAGTAAATGTCAAAAATTACAGAAGCATGTAACTTACCGAGAGGAGCTCCAGGGAATAGATATCCGGCGAGAGTTTGAGCAATAGGTTCGATATTGAATTGGAAACCAGTAATCGCATACTGAGCACCAAAAAACAACATGAAAACCGTCAAGAAAAGCATAGCCACTATCAGACCCCACCATGGAAGGGTTGACTTCATAGCATAAAGACAAGCCATCGAAGTAATGAAACTTGCCGCGAATGCCAAGAAGTACCAAAGATCGGGGACTTCATCGTAGTCCAACATGACTTTGTAATGAGGATCAATGTTGGGATCATCCCTCAAGATTTGCTTTTCTTCTTCACTGCGTTTGCTGCCATCGCCTTTCCAGAACATGTAATGGGAAGGTGTTAACAACTTCTTCAGTGTGGCTTTGTTAGCCCAAGCCCATCCCGCCTTGATGTCTTCATAATTCCAGAGAAACATGTGAACAAAATTAGCTGTGAATCCCATGTTGGATGTGATGAGATAAACAATATAGGTTGAAGCCATATAAGGAATGCCTCCAGCTTCAAGTGCCTCCTCGTTCACGGTAAAATCGTCATTGAGGATTGTTGTCTCATTGAAGGTATCGTAGAAGGTAAAGTTCGAATCGCCATTGAACAATTGTTGAGACAGAAATGGGAAATCTTGTGCTCTCCAAATGTTGCCATAGTATACGGCCATAAAAAGAATAATACAGCCGAGAGTACCGATGAAACTGTTTACCAAAGTCTGTAGTGGCATCCAGAGGGGAGATCCAAAACTAGCGACATAGTTCCAGTCGAAAGATAGGGACAAGAATCCTACACCCTCATTTCCGTTTGCGCCTCCGAAAAGATTGGTGAAGACTAAGTTGTGTTGGTCTGCGAGACAAAAGATGGATACACCGATAAGAAGTGGGAAAATGTACTACAAGATGTCAGATATGCTTGATTTGAGACCAAAGAGATGTCGAAACGCACCTCAGGAAGCAATTCCCAAACCAACAAAGCAAAGAAAATGATCCAGAAAACCTTCATTCTCTTCCTATTGGCTTTCTTTTCTTTGTGTAACGTTTCCAAGACAGTAGTAACTGGAAGGTTTGCTGGGTAGAGCATCTTTGTAGGCCACAGAAGACTACTTCTCATCATACCTGCAACACCGTACCCAATCAATTGCGAAGACAAAGTCAAGAATACACCGGCAGCCTGACTAGGATATCCTCCATACCAAAGCTTTTGAGCTGCTAATGCTTCCGTGGATAAAGCCGAAACAGCGGCGGCCGACGCCATAATAACAGCGGCAGCGTGTTCTTTTTGGTTAAATGGGCCAGGATTGAGGAATCGACCAACTGCACCCCATCTAGGGATGGCAAAAGCCATAAATTCTCCGATGACGTATGCAATAACAGTCAAAAACACTAAGAAGCATCAGAATACACGCGGAACAAGCACTGGAGTATTTTTCATGACTTACTGACTGATACATAAATGACTTGAGGCTTGAAATAGAAGATCTCTTGGAGTACAGCCCCAAAAGCAGATAGTCCCAAGCCTGAAAACACGTTAGTATCTACAAGCAAAGAATAGGGGACTGTACAAACCGATGAAGAACATGCGAAAAGTCCAGGGATTCAAGGTTGGATCATCATCGAGATTGATAATTGCGGTAACGATATCTTCTGCAGTCTCAAGAGCATTGACCTCACCACCACGTCCTTCTTCATCAGATCCAGAAGAAATTTCGGTTTCGTAAGATGTCTCTCCAAACTTGTCATTCTTTGCGTCCTTAGAATCAATAGATTCGGGGTTCTTGGTGACGGCTGGTGCTTCATGACTCTTCTCGTCGTAAACGACGTCAGTCTCTCGTGGCGAGTCCATACTGAAAGCTAGTGCTCACAGGCGAAATAAGAAGGGCTGAAGAAGAGAGGAAATCGTTGGGAATACAGCCATCTTTTATAGAAGCCACTACAGCCTCATGATACCGGAAACAATCTCGGATATTAGAAAACAAATTTGAAAATAGATAAGATACGAAGTGTGCCATTGTGGATCAATCGCAACGTGGTGTAACGACTGATTAATTGCAAGCCTTCAGGGTTTGCGTATAGTTTTGAGCCATATGAACCTTGAACTTTCCATTTCCACCTTCAACCATACCGTCTTTTACGAAAAGCTAGTGAACATCTTTGATGATGTGATGGTTTAACGTACATGTTCACCTGCCTTTTAGGGGAATTCCGATAAGCAATTGCCCCGCATCCAATCTGGACAAGCAAAGCTTAACTGTCCTGGAATTGCAAGCCGTAAAGCTTGACGGAGCTTGTCAGCTAAACCCGTGCGTACCACGAATCCGCCACAATGGTAGAACTGCGACCTTCCATACTTGGCATATCTAGAATTCGAGTATATTTCGGTGTGAGAACCTGATTGACGGCGTCCAATCGAATGAACAATAGAAAGGGATGTGAGCACCAAAGAATGTTGGGGTAGTTTCCACCACTCAAAATGATATTTTTTGGTATTGCAGGACCCTTGTGACTCCCACTTTTGATGAACTTTGAGGTGGGTAATATCAGCAGCGATAACGGTGCTGAATGCTTGTATTACTGCTCATGACGACCAGTAGACGGGGCCATCCGTCTTGGGTTTGACGACAAGCGTTATCGCGTGCCGTCCCTGAGTTTCTTGCATATAGGCAATATTCTGGATGCATAGAACAACTGTATAAGTATGCATTGAGCACACATACATATTTAGGATTTTGCGAAGTGAACCTTATAACAGGAAGCCCAATCAGATAATGACAATGACTATCCGCATATCATAGGTCGCAATTCCTCGAATGCAGACGTCCCGTCTTGGTTGGCTAGAACAACAATCATAATTGCAAAGTCTAGGGTTGGACGGTTCCAATCGGGTTCTCTTTCATGGTTTCAATCTTAGCCGGGAATTGCTAGAAGTTGTCTTGTGGCCACGAGGAATGTATGAGTGAGAACAGTGAGACAAAAAGGTATCAGCTCGGCTAAAATTATGTAATAATTAGATACAGAATCTGTAACTAATTCTATCGTTGGAATTTGTACCCAGATACTGCTCGAACTTTGTTGACTTCTCAAGATTAGAATGAATAATGGCTGTCCATAAAAATTGATAGATTGTTGACCGAAGTATACCCAGTGGGGTCACACTTCAACATGGATTTCCTGTCCACCCGAGCCACCTGGGCAGGATGTAACCATCCCAAAAACCAAGATAAGTCGAATGATCGTGAGAAGTAATTTTGAGCCGTTTCACCATTTTGAGTCTCTATCCGTAGTCGAACATCACCGAACTGGATAGATTATTGTGCTCATCTGTGTAATTAGAAGCCCCCGGGTGTGGAAAAGAAAGGCTCTTGACGGGTTGTTTCACTGAAACTGGAGAATTGATTATTAATCATTGGAGTTTGAGTGGCCGGTCGAGGCGGTCGTGCGACTATGTGCGGAGTAAGCATTCATGGCTGTCACGTGATTGTATCCCATCTTTACCTATTTATTGATAAACTATCACGTGACTATACAACGTCTGCATATAATGTCGATCCCACCATGCTGAAAACAAAATTTTAGACAAGGGACTGTATACCGGCCGCGTATCCGGTGAAATGAATATTTAATCCATGTTGCAAGAATGGCCGCATTTCGAGTTTTGTGACCTAAAGGATTCATACATAATGATCGACTACCAAAGGCTACCCGGGCGGTTTCGATACGAACAATCGATAGGGTACCTATACGAAGAGCTTTTCTTATCATTATCTATGGATATCCCACCAAAGAAGCTAGTAGCAGGATGTTGAACTTGGACCCCTGTTCAGGACGTCTGGGTCTAAACGAAGCGGGGTGTTGACAGGCTGATTAGAAAGGTCAGCGTTTGTGAAGCTCTGCTGGATATACGATATAAGACACAACGAAAGAAACGAAACTCTTGCTCGAAGGAGAAGAGAAAAAATTGTGAAGAGACTAAAGAGACATGTTTATATGTTCTGAATGAAAATGGGAGCCTATCAAAAACGCGTAAGACGCTAATTTCTCACCGGTCCTGATTGAGCGATGTCCCAGAAACCTACCAATAATCTACCTCGAGATTTCAAACTTAAATGTTTCATCATTAGAAAATGTCGAACGAATCTTGGTGAGTCACTCATTCATACTTTAATTTGGAAAACATGCAGAGAACATAGCATTTTCCAGATCTCCAGGCCATGAACCGCACAATGGCTGATTATGATGATATGTTGGTTTTACCCCTCGGAAAACATAATCACGAAGAGTCTGGGTCGACTTCGAAAAGAGTACCTCTTCGTTGCTGATACATCTTCTATAAATGCAAATCTAAGTACAACGCTTTTGATGATCTGAAGCGATCGAATACGTATTGCATGGTGCATCTGGGACCTCCGTGGCTAATGTCTCTCACCGCATTGCTCTTCTCGAAACCAACTACCAACAACTAACTAACTACGTCCATGAAGTTGCAACATTCATTTTGGCGGCACAACACTATATGTAGGAATGTATCTAGCCGTACTATGCATGTCACTATCCCATAACTAATGCTAATTTTATTTTTTGTTTGTGCTCACTGCTACAAACAAAAATTTGACAAGTACATTTTGAATACTCGTTTGCTGTACTATTCAAAATTGCGCAAGCAAACCCCAATCCAGCTTGTGACAATCCAAAACATCTACAACATCATATTTCATACCTCATAACACGCATTTTCGGGGACCAAACAAACCATGAAATACATAAATATCATAAGAAATGGTCTAGCCTCTGGTGAGCCTTCATAACTTGTAATCCCTCTCTACCCAACTCTTGGCAAGTTCATTCGTCGCCCTTAGCTTCCCTTCCAACCTTCAAGACAAGCCGAATTAATAGGAGTTCAAGTTTCATTACTACTACTCGAAGTGTCTATTTTGCACCATCCCATAGCTTAAATCCAAGCTGGTCAACTCATTGTAAATAGATCATCGATCTTCACGAATCAACGGGACAGACCCACGAAAAGTCATCAGTTCATCGATAATGTCTCGAAAATGGATCTCAACTTTTGCTACTCTTGAAGCTTCTCATCACTCTCCTGATTGCCCTCAATATCAATTCGAGCCGGTTGATTTGACTCCCAAGTGCGCATTTTGCAATGTGACTGGAGCAAAACAAAGATGTGCAGGCTGTAAGACCTTATTCTACGGCAGTGAACAATGTCAAAAGGGGGATTGGAAATTACACAAGCTAGTCTGCAGGTCTTACGCCGATTTTATTATCAAGGTGCCACGTCCTGCAAACGGAAACCTCGGACCATTCAAGCTTGTGATTCTTCTTCCGGTCAATGATAAGCAGCCACAATTTCTTTGGCTAGAAACTTGTCAGAGGAGGTCTACAGAGCTTTCTCAAATGCAGGCCTTAACCTCTAAGGCACTTGTCAAGTGGTTGGATCTCAGTGGAGTGGGAAAAATCGACACTACTACCCTACGCCTAAACATCGCCCTAACTGAGAGTTTTCCGGACAACTCAAGATACTGGCATCGCCAGTTAGAAATTAAGATGCTCTCAATGCCCTCTCATAACATTCTTCAAACGCCAATTAACAAATGCGCCAGTAAGTTGACAAGCAATAGCATGACTTTTGGACATCGAGGCCCTATGATTGTTATTCATAGAATAAAAGGAACCAGATCCATAGGGGATGTTCAGCCATCAGACCTTCGAATTGTTGCCGATTGGCTGTGCCGTCATGTACCACCAGGAATGAAGGATTATCAAATCAAATACAGCTTCCAAGGTTTCACCAATGAAATCAGAATTTTTGAAGAGTTACATCACGCGGAGAAGTCCGCCGCGCCAAAAGTATCCGTTGTACGCATACACTACGAGGGTAGAACGGAAATCTTAAAATTTCCTAAATACGAAAGCACCGAAATTTCCACTGCGGACTACGCATTCCTCCACGAAGATGCAGAATGCACTAAAGCCCTGGGAATTGGATTGGTACTTCGTTCATTCAACGAGTTTATCCCATTTCTTCATATCAGCCCAGCCCCAGAATTCCTCATTCTCAACATCGGCTCGCAAATTTAGGTATAATGCTTTGATGTTCGACATGGAGTTTTTTGGGGACGCATAATCAACGCCGGATCTCTTATCTGCCCAGCGTGGATCAATGTAGCCGGTTTTCCTGGTGAGAAGTGGAATTCCCATGTGAACAGAGATATCTATAGGCTTCTCTCTGGTAAAAATAACATGGGTGTCAGAGATCGTAACTTCGGTATATTTAGGCAAGCCAAGGATTTTTCGATCGCCCAAGCAGTGGATGTAAACAGCCCTAACACCATGAGTAGATATGTCTGTATTTGGGGGAGGAGGGACGGGACCGAACACTTGAGACATGGTTGAATGCTTCTATAACTTAACTTGTAGAGTCGATTGAAGAACTTGAGAAGTTTGTGAACTGTAATGGAACCTCTTTCAATTATAGAGGTGGAAGCTGGTGTGAGAGTTGAGAGAGAAGTCGCGGTAGAGGTTGAGGTGAAATCCAGAAGCTCTTGTATCTACTCGGAAATATCACACTTGAAGAAGTTCAAGTCTATCTCCACAATTCTCCTGAAATTCACCAGATTCACCTGCCTAACCTTGACTATCTCACTTCAAAGATGAGAGAAAAATCTTTAGGGTTGCCAATATTACAATCACGTGCTTTCAAACTCTCTCCGATCGGTCAGTATGCGTCATACATAGCTCATCTTCTACACAATAAACACTTATTTACAGAGTCGAAAATGACCCTCGGGTTACCAGAAAAGATCATTGGCATTTGTAGCGACGTTGGGGGAAAACAGTGGTTTAGCAACCGTCACAGGTTTTATAGAACACTACCTACTTTCTCCAACGCAAGAAGAACAAAATATACAATAAGCCATCGTCCAAAGATGATTTTGGTAAGTGATGGGATGGAAATGAAGAGATGAACCGAAAAGCACAGCAACAAAAGTCTCGAGTAAACGCCAAGCACATTAGATACACCAATGCGATCGGCTAAGGTAAAGTAACCGACAAACTTAAACCACACGTAATGAATGGAGTATCTTGAATGTGCATAAAACTGCATTGTACGACCAACTATTAAGTAAAGTATCTAAAACTCCAAATCATAATCGAAGCACCTAACACTCCCATTACGCGCCAGCGCAAAAAGCATCCAACAGTATCCAAAAAAATATCGAAAGGATCAAAAGTACCAAAAACCACTCTTGCATCCCCATTATCGCCCGTCATATACCCATACCAGTATTCTCCCACGCCTGTCTGGATACAAGTTTCTAAGCCAACTTCAGTATCAAATCATCTCCTATATATGTTTCCACCTCATTGACTTCTCGACCTTCTCCGGAACTTCTAAAAATAATCTTATGTAAAAACGTATATCTGTATCAAGAGCACTGCAGGCCCATTCATTATACCGTCCATGGAGACATGATCGAACCTGTCATACTTCGCTGAAGTACCATATGATCGCGGTTCAACTCGAGACTTTTAGATTTTGGACGATTGAAGAAAGATGATGTTCTGTTTAATGTCGAGGGACTCTTCACTTTCCTGATTGTTGGTTTGAGTTGGAGGACTAATTTTGGCTGAAAGAAGGAAGTAGTGGTCATGATGGATGGGCTTGGTCCACTCGATAGAATAGATGCGGAATCGTCCTGATTACTTCTATTTCTTCTCGCGTCATAATGGTCGAAAATTTCACGGGATTGTCTGACAGAAACATTGCTCTTATGACGAGCCTGCTTTGCTGTCATCGCAATCGAGGTGACTGGTGAGATTGGAGTGATTGCCATACTGTCACTGCTAGCAGATCCCTCGAAAGCCTTCTCTGTATTGACGTAAAGAGATGGTACTCTCTCTGAATACGTCCTAGGCCCGGCTGCGATCACGCCCGACTCCCTAATCCAATCTGGCAGGAAATCTGGCATGATAAATGATTCAGCCTTATGTAGCGAAGAAGCATCATCTCTGAAACTACCCAGATTGATACTCGATTTTGAGCGCTGCATTTTGTGTCTCGGAAGAGAAGTTTCCGAGTTTCTCATCCAATCTGGTTCGGCAAATGTTTCGGCGCGCTTTCTGTAGGTTCTACATTCTTCGCCGTCGAATCTAGCATTCTTAGACTTTCCCTTTCCATCTTGAGCTTTTCCTCTCAGAAATTTTATAACGCGGCTCACTGACGTGCCCAAAACACTCTTCGATTCCTCACCACAAGCGTGTCCAATTTCAATATTTGGTTTTCCTTCATAGTTGAAGAGGAAATCAATTAGAATCCTGAAATCGCATGGCTGAAAATGCTGAGCACTTCCAACTGAGCCCCAGCCACGCTCCCTAACAACAGCAACTGGACCCTTGAAAGTGAATTTCACATTTCCATCCATGATATGATTAATGCAAGCATTTGGTGGCGAGTTATCTGTCAGGAAATCTCCTCGAACAGCCAAAATAATAGAATGATCAAATTTCTTGCTTGCCATATTGTAATCGACAAGAGTGTTGCGAGTGTTTATGCGATCTTGATCGTAATATTGAAGAAAAGTTGCGACCGACTTTCCATTAGAACCATTGGCAATCCATGCCAATTCAAAGTCCTCCGAGTCGACCGGCAATAGGAGACCAAGTCTGTATTTCTTTTCCACAGTATCTTCGGGACACGGGTGTGCCGCAACGAAATCTGTGTATTTCTGGCAGATGATATCATGAACATCGCGATCGACTTTTTGGCAGGCTAATGTACAATACCAGGTGGCATTGCAAGTTGTGCATGGAATCGAAGCATCTTTTGTGCAGTACCCGCACTTGGGGTGTTCGATGGTAGGACCGAAGGAGGAGATTGAGACCCGCGGGCCCAGAGCCGGATCGCGACGTGATGGCATGGAGTTGATTGTTTAGCGGTTTATAAGAAGAAATGTAGAGGTCTATTATGGAAGGAAAGAAAAGCTATCTAAGCCGGTGTAAGGGTTAGTAGGAGTTAATAAGTATACAAATTGGTTTCTACTTAATTAAAGAGTGAATTGGATTGAGTAGTGAAGTATTTATTCGTTAATAGAACGAACCCCCAGACCGGTATTTGTGAATGGGCCGGCAAAACTTACAAATTACAAAGAAAATAGCTTCAAGAGGAGCGGGTGACGTGAACGACTAAGGGAAGATATAGAAGTTTCAAAATGACTCTAGGAGACTGACTGGGCAAGGCTAATATTGTAAATCTGTTTTTCCAAAGTCAAGCTTTTATATCTAAATGAACGAGAAGGATATTTCAAATAATTGTTGCCAGGTAGACTCGACAATTTATGTTGTACACTATCCGCCGTAGGAAGCTCTGTAGTACAATCGCCAGTACAATCTGACTTGGAGATTAAGAATGTGTATAATGACTTTCTCTTGTGACTAGAACACCAATCACGGCACAGATAAGGAGTCAAACAGAAAAAAGTGAATACAAAATGCAAGGCATCATTAACCGACACATTAGAAAGAAAGCGCAAGGAGTAATCTCGTGCCTATGATACGGCTAAATGTTCCAAATTTATCGCTAATTTTATTCGCTCTAAAGTAGAAATCTGATGAATTCTTAGCTAGAGATCATGCTGATACCTCCACGTGTAGAAAGTAAGCAAGTCCAAATGAAGTTACAGTCATACCCTTATTCAATCAATCAATGATACCATCCGCGACAACAACATTTACTGCAACAATCTCCAAGCCAAAATATCACTAAATTCCTTGACCCAATAATTTATACACGTATCTCTTAATCATCGGCCGCAAACACTGTCATAAGTCCAGTTCTGTGGTACAGATCTATCGCCATATCCAATTCTGAAGAGTTCTGTGGTATACCAATTGAATCATATGAGTTGCTATAAGGAGATATCAGGTCTCCGTCCAGCTGCGGGATCTGATCCACATTAGCTGCAAAGGGACCGAAGAAAAAAATTTCGAAATTTCTCCTGGTGAAGTAACCCTCAAGAAATGCCTGTTTCATTCCAACATCGGGTTCGTTTCTTACTAGACTAAGATCCAATCGCCTGATGAATTTCATAATTGCCGTTAGTTGAAGGGTGGTGATATCTTTTTTGTCCTCTCTCGCGACCAGAACAGTCCCCACATTCTTATGCCATTGTGAAGGTATTTCACCCCACGTCTCACTAAAAGGACGTGTATCAACGTGAAGAGAAGCACAGAAATCGTTTCTCAAGTGATCCTTATCGAACATAACATCTCTTCCCGCTTCTCGAGGTATTCTTTGTATTATCAACGGAATCTCCATCAATTGTGAGATACTTGTGGGTTGCCCCTCGAAAATCGGATGCAATTCTGGGACTCTGGTGACCACAAGCTGAGTCTCTCCTGAAGTCTGCATATGATCGCCCATACATCTAACGATTACACATTTCGAAGTATTGAAACTTGACTTCAAGACTTTGTGCTTCATCACTCGATTTCCATTGCCAATCTGTCTCAGCAATCGTATGACTCTGGGGAGGTCATCCAGTGAAACATCCTGTACAGCTGCTGAGTCAACACCAGGCTTCCCTGTCTGGAAAACAACCAAAGGTCCAGTCCAATAGGCCCCCCTCGTGAAAGATGTAACGCTATGATTGAGCTTTTGATTATCGTCTCGGCAGCCTCCTTGACAAAGGACATACGACCATCCCAACTTCGGCTGGTTCTTGATTGTCAGCAGAATAACAATTCGACCACTGCACGAAGATACCAAACCTTTGATTTCGTGGAACTCAGCGAGCGAGAACCAAATGCTCCATCATCGGCGTTGGGATGCAGACAATCTGGACGCCGAACCCATTCCAGTGTGGGATCGAGGTCAACCGGAAAATAGAATGCGAGGCTATGATCTTTTGAAGGGCGTGGACCAAGGGATGTAAAAGCTTTACAAAAACTTTTGTGAAAAGACCAATCCAATCGCTGACACTCTCTGGAGCAATAAATGATGGACTGGCAGGATCCACAGCGTCTTATTGAAAAATTCGATTTGCAACAAAAAGCGCAAGTGTAGAGGGGAATGGGGGTCCTCATAACTATCGTCATGATGTTGATAAGGAGAAATAATAGTAGGCATATAAAAATAGGTGATAAGCTGAACTTCGAGATATCGATGTTGTGTGGAATTATGAGCACCAAAGGAAGAGGAAGGAGATTGGGAATCCGAAAATGTCTAGTGAATAAGATCGACGCGAAAATGAGAGGAAAGAGTTCAACACAAAAGGAAAAAGAAAGTCAATACAACAGGGCGAAAATTGACATGATATAAAGTCGGTATCATAAAAGGAAGGGTCGAACCCCCCTAAAAACATCCGAAGAAGAAATATACACAAAGAAAAAGAGACTCACTCATGTAGCAAGAATGTTCTGGATAAGATATCGCCTAATATACAGCGCCAATTTAAATCCTTCCAAGTCGGATTATTTGAGGAATGAATGATGAGAAATCTACTTCAAATCGCTGGCTGGTGCATTTCGAAAATTTATTTTACTTAAGAGCGGCATTATGAATGAATGACGTTTGAGAAGAGTGGCAGTTTGATAGCTGAATTTATTGATAGGCGAGCAGTGCAATTAATTGTGGCGTGTCTCATGTTTGAATTTATCTCGCTAGAGTTGCATCCAAAGAAAGGGGTACAAGCAGGCGAAGGGTCAAGGCTCACTCACGGGATGCGTTCAACTTATCCGATTTCTAAAACATCATCAATGCTTCTACTGAACTGCATGGCTTGATGAACAGCTCATATGAAGTGAGCTCTACAAATTATACTATCTTCTCGTCTAATAATCATCCCAAGCCCTTCTAATGACAGGCCTAGCTGGATCCCACGGTCCGTGGATTTCATTTTTATATTTCTGCAATCCTATCAGCCACCAACTACATCCACCCATAGCTAATCCTGTTATTAGCGTCCCTAAGACCACCCCAATCAATCCACTTTTCCAATCCCATGCTGATCTACCTGACTGTGGCAATACCAATCCTACGCCACCTCCGGCACCAAAGACGAGTAATAGAGTCAGTATTAGATGACCACGCAAAGAGTGCAAGCGAGTATAACGGCGGAAAACAGGAAAAAGACCGAAAACTTCGATGGAGAAAAGTGTAAGACTAAAGACTTGTCCGGTACTCGGAAGGCGTGAAGCCAGTACGGTGGAGGCCATTAGAGCAGCATTAGTACTCAAACTTGCGGGAATGTTTTTGTTCTTCGTGTTTGATGGTGGATAGCCAGATGAAGATGAAGGAGACGGGGTGGCATAGTCAAAGAAGAATATATTGATTGTAAAGAGGAGGAATGACATTGCCCAGATCGAGTCTGAAGAAGTGGACCTAGTGAGAGATTTGAGAATGGGAGAAAGGCCGAGGAGGGTAAAGTAAATTAGAAGGGCTGATTTAGCAGTTGAAAGACGGAGCGATGTGCGATGAGAGAGTCGTGAATTATGTGGTGTATGAACCGGTCGTGTCGGAGGTGGTTGAGTTATATTGGAGGTAGTAGATTGAAGAGATGTTGTTGATATCGAATGGGAGTACTTTGGCCCATTTACAGCTGTTGCCAATAAATTCGGCGTTGAACTTGTTGCAGATACACTGTGAGAGAAAGGCTGCGGCGGCGGAAATGCCGGTCGAGTACTTTCTTCCTGTCCCACCCATAGATCCCATAAAACCCAACCTAAAAAGGTAGCGATAGAGCCCCAGCCAACCACAGAAACCGGAGAGACATGTTTATCATATATCCCAACAAAAGAAACAATGAATATTATGACGGAACAAACATGTTGTACTATGACTGTGGAGTCTGCTACCAATGGCCAAAAATCATAAGGCTGAAGACGTGGGTTTCTTTGCAGATGTTCGAGAAATGTATCCTGATCCGTGTAATTGTCTGGATCTATATCAATTGATCAGTATTATCTTTCATTCGCTGAATTGAAGCGTGCCATACATGATTGCTTCACCCATAGCAGTTTTTTCCAAGTAGTTTTCCGTCTTCTGGTACTGCTTTTCGTTCTATCAGTATGTCTTCCTCTACTTCTTAATCTTCCAGCATCCCCATTTGTCATGCGCAATTGGTTGAGAGTGGCAGATGGTCTCCGAGGTGGTGAGGCTTGAGATATAGCATCTTCTGGTGCGAGATGTGACCTTTCGTAAGGTATAGTTCGAGCAGATGCGATATTGGGTGCTGTCGAACTTCTATTCAAGGGGGGAGCAAATTGAGGTGCCAGTGGAGGCACCATGATTGAGAAGGCTGTAACATTTCAAAGTTGATATCTGGTTAACAAATTGTCAGCCTTGAGGATTGTTTTGGGATGCTATCAAGGTCGGTTCCGGTTACCGTTGTAGATGATGAGCAGCGTGCTTACCTAAAAACACATGATAGGAATTTGCATCATACGAGTACATGGGTGAGTGAATGAATGATTTTCTTTCCTTTTCCCAAGTATCGAATGTTTGATTCAGACTTATCTACGTAGGTATGGATAGTTGATTTGTTGAGGTTGTAATGGAGCTGCTTATCCGAATTCGACCCAATCAACTTCTTGTTAGTCAATTAGAATAGAAGATCTTGATTCCTACCAATCCATCCATTCCCACGGGTAGCATCCTTCCTTCACTTCCTGTAAATGAAATAATGATACACACCTCCCTCTCTTCGGCTATTCACATAGCTTGCTAGGTACTGAACGTTATGTTGCTTTAGAAACTTGTTATCTCCTATTATTAGACCTTCGATTACCAAATCATGGCAAAGGATTCATCAGATTATCATCTCATCTCGTCCGCGTCAGAAAGATCCATCAGAATAAGCATATTCATAATCCTCATCTCACTCGGCACAGAAAAACTTTGCAGGGTTAAGTCAACGAGGCGAAAGCTTACATTGTATTAGCAACGAAGTAGTATTACATATCATAAAACATTCTCACGTATGTATGTAGAGTAAACACATTGATATCGATCACATTTGCTTCTCTGTACCTTTCTCGGGGTTTCGGTCCTATTCATCTTGAACGATTCCTTTTCGGGGACCTCGTTTGATGAGCAATGGATGGATGGATATATCAGCACTAATTTGTATTTCACCGAGGGCAACAGATAAAAAGTTTCAAGAAGCGCTGGAATGACTGTTCATTAGACGAGCTTTCAGGGATGCCGCTCTGTACCTTAATCATCTCATAAATGGTGGTAGGACATGGAGGGTAGTATCAAAAAATAAGCTGTTTTCTCCTGGAGCCAGACAAAGGCGCAAACAACCTTCCATCGTCATTCCAGAAGGATTCATGGTGAAGGTTAAGGACTGGGGGCTAGTGGTCCTGCTGACTACGACCCCGTAAACGTAGCCGAAAGACGGTTACAAGATGATCTTGAGATCAAGTGTCGAATTCTACCCAATTCAGTGTTCTCCCGTACTCCATGACCTTGGCTCAAAATGCAGCCTGCGATCTGAACCCTACTCACGAATCTTATTAATGTTCAGAGTTTGTGGGAGAGACATGAGTTTTGCAGGGGTTTTGGCACACTACCGGTACACGGTGTACGATGGATGTATGATGAGTCGATGCCGGAGTCCTTATCTTCAAAACAGAAGAGCTACAGGGATTCCGGATAGATTTACTTGCTATGTGTACCTGACGATCGTTTGACTATGACGAACAAAAGGTTATGGAGACTGTGTATCATTTACCGTTGAATCTTAAGATATATGATATTCAAAGCAAACTCTGCTTAGTCAAACGTTAATCTCGCGATAGAAGCATTGAGCAGAAGGATCAAGCAAGTGAAAGTATATACAGAGTAGGTAGCGCAGGATAATCCCTCAATTGCATTGAGTTGTTATTATCCTTTGCTACGCCCAAATGCCAAGAAACCCGTAAATTAAGGGAGCTACCCCTTCATCGACCAGAATAGCTCGTGTAAATATCCTCATGGCATAAGCAGGACTAGAATTGTATTGGTCACCTCGGGATAGAAAAATTATGTGCAATTGAGGGGAAAATAAGAGATTTTCGACACTTTACTTCGTATAATAAATTGACGATGACACTCTTTGAGACTCTGATTGAGCAAGCAATAATCTGCTCGTATAGCACCACATGATACGATGTCAAGCCCGGTGCATTGTGATAGAAGTCACAAGAGACAGCTATCTACACAGTTTTGTTATCAAGGTAGTATGCCAAGTAAAGTACATTGCCTAAGTATATATATCTACGAGAATGTTCAGTATCGAAAACATTCCCCAATGGTTTGATCCAAGATACAAATCATCAAAAGTCGCGTGGGCGACGCAATGACCACATCTTAGTATTATTATATTGTACAGTGGGTACCAGTAGGTATTCACGAGCCTCCCACCCTACGAGCCTACCTAGGTACGAGCAGTGACCTCCACGCAAGGATTTCTATGGACCACCAGTGGACGCACTGATAGGATACGAAGAAAAGTGGAAGAGGAAGAACTATAAAAGGTCTCCCCCATAATTGGTCATCCCACTACTCATGCAAATCTCCACCTTTCCGTGATTCTTGTCTTGGTAATATGTTGGTTACGAGGAGCGCTGTCTATCGCTCCAGTGTTATTATGAGAGAGAAGGGAAGGTCGAGCAATGTCGAGAGATGGGATGAATATCTAAGTATATCTTCAATTGTTGGAGGAAGGAATCTTGCTTGTCTTGTTGTCTACCTAGGTAGCTACTACTTTGTACCGTACAAAGAAAGCCACGAGGGCTTATACTCTCAGTCTCAGTCTCATTCTCATTCTCATTCTCAGTCTCAGTCTCAGTCTCAGTCTCAATCTCAATCTCAATCTCAATCTCAATCTCATTCTCATTCTCATTCTCATTCTCATTCTCATTCTCATTCTCATTCTCATTCTCATTCTCATTCTCATTCTCATTCTCATTCTCATTCTCATTCTCATTCTCATTCTATCAAGCCGGACAAAACCCAGCCCACATCTCACCACCTCACCTCGCCTCGCCCTCGCCTCGAACAATCCAAAAAGACAAAATCATTCACGCCCCATCACCCCCCCATGTAACCTTAACTACCGACGTATTAACCATAACCATGCCATTTGTTTACCCTTGGAATTACCCATGAAAATCGCGCAAGGACCCTGAGGGGCTGAAGCTTTTTCTTTGCCAGCACCCCCAATATGGAGTTTTAAGTTTTGAAGGATTTCTACCAAATTAGCATTTTAGAAGCATGAAGTGGATGGAATTACCCCATGTAACTCTAGTCCCTTGTGTAAAGTCCCGAAGATACTACTGTAAATTATGTAATGCATGTTTATGTTGCAACTATTGTTTTTGCCTAAGTGTGAAGAAATGATTGGCTATAACACACACCACCTGCGTGGTACGCTACTCTTTGATCTAAATACGAGAGTTTCCCTACCTCACTTCCACCACCTCTTCGTATTCATTCTATCGACTTTTATTTTCAATCTTGACTTCCTGCTCCAGCCTTTACATTTTCATACCTCAAGTATTGATCGATCGGATTAAGCTGTGTTCGGAACAATCGAAGATTGAAGATTGATCTACTCACGTTTGCGGCATTCCAAACGTCTCGCGTGTGACAAACTACCAAAGCGTCCTAAAACATCGGAATCACTTGCCATTCACAACGAGGAACGTTTTATTCTATACGACTTCTAAACATATATACCCACCTCACCTCACCTCACCTCACCTTACCTCACCTCTTCATTCAAGATATAGTCAATAATTCACATCGTAATATTTCTATCCATATCAATCGCATATCCACATCAATCGCAAAAATGCGACCATCATCACCGCTCTCGCTCCTCCTTTTCCTCCAACTATCGACCGCAATCCCAGTTTCTAGAGAATGTTTCAATTCTCAATCTTGCGACTCACTCCACTTCGTCAAATATGACCCTTCGCTTTCTCACCCCAAGCCCAGCGATCCCCGCGATCCCCATTTCCCACAGCATCAAAAACTACCTATCCCAACATTTGTTAAACCAACAATTACCTCCCCTTCGAATGATGAATATTTTGCGGAAGAAGGTGCTTTCGACAATGCACCTACGACTCCTTCAAAAGATGTCTCCGCAGATGAAGCACTTTCTGCAGCAACACCACTCAGTTCGGCATATCTCCAAAGTCTGACGAGGACGAGTGACGAGGATGAAGCGCGACCAAGCATGCCCACTTCTGCATTACCTAAATTGCGCAAAGAAGATGCGAAGAAATATTGGGAGGGGGAAGACGGAGCGTTAGGCATCAATGGAGAGAAACCAGGATGTGGAAATTCCAATTCGTGGCCTGGGACTGCGGTAGGATATCGAAATCGCTTGGCGCATTTGGAGATGGGACGAAGAAATGATTTTATGGTTGTGGGAATTGTGGTGGTTTTCCTACTCGTGGTTTGTGTATTGGAGTCTGTAGAGAGGTTTGGGTAAGCTCCTTTTTTCTACCCTCTTAGATTTGGACTTCGGCTAACATGTGCGTAGAAATCGAAATTCGAGAAGAGGAGAAATCTTTTTGGAGGATGATGAGACTTATGCTTTTATCGTTAAGAAGCCGAGAGAGTTCTGTCAGAACGAATCTGTATTCAATGAGAAATGCGCGCAGGAATTGGAATACAAAGAATATAAAGATGATGAGACAGTTGTAGCGGAAGATTTCAATACAAATAACGAGAGAGAGAGCTGAATTGAGCTCGGGCGTTAGCTTTTTTCTTGTTCTATATAAAGGTTGATTGGATAATGGTGTTTGGAACCTGGCAGTGGGGGGCATTTGATTGTGGAAAAGAAGCACAATGGGCGTTTTAAGCATGTGTTTACGGCACAGGATGATTTTTGGTCAAGAATTATATGCTTGATGAAGGACGAATCTCTGAATCTCACGTTTGGCGAACATCGCAATTAGCAACGGCAATCAGGGAGAGAAGAAAGAAAGAATAAATAATGTTTAGAAAATTCGTGAGTCCATGACAATGCTGCTGATCTGCATGAGTCCCGCATGACATTCAACCCGAGTCAATTCACTTGTTCTGTATCTCTCGTGTTTGATATAAGAGAAAATTGTCACTTTCTATTCTTAGTTTTACACAAGAACACGATGCTTGTGCAGTATTAAATCTACCACAATTTAGATATGGGAAATTCTAGCATCGGACGGCTTCTGATTCACAGCAGTCCAATTTCTATTGAAAACCAGTGCGAATCAGTTCCATTCATTTCATGCGGGAGCGTAAATGTATGGAGTCTGAAGTTTCTTGCTCCCGAGCAGAAAGTTTTTGCTGCCGTCTTTCTTTCTTTCTTTCTTTCTTCGTATTGTTCTCTGTCTTTGTAGATCGTTACCATAATCTCGTCGTCAGTGCAGTTGATTTTCATGTAACATGTTGTTCTATGATCCATAAGCTTCCTCGCGGGAACTCAATTCTTATTCTTCCCCTAGACAATGTTGATTGCATAGGTAGGCAGCGGTCTTAGTTTACTCCCAGCTAGCTGGGCATCTGGCTCTACCTCCTATGGACTTGTTTTCTTTGTTGCTTATTTCCTTCTTGCGTTTGTTGTTGAGATGAGGATTTCGAGATTCCTGAAAAACATGTGTTTGAAGGGAAAGTCGCATGATTATATCATTCGGATTGAGGTCAGAGAAGGGGAAATTTTCTGGATGAACTTTTCATGCGTGGGATTGTAGACGTGATCTCTTGTTATTTAAATGAGTTCGTTTTAAGTCTCAACAACGATTCGCTTCTCTGTTGATCTTGTTTTACCAACCTTACCTGAGCTGAATTATAAAGGATTGGCGAATTACCGTCAATGTCATTATCGTTCCCCATCTGGACCGTGATGGCGAGATACAGACTTTATAGAAGTGGCTGACGTTATCTAATGATAGTATCCTTGAATTGATGAAAATGAGACCAACCGTCGGAAAATCTACCTTGATCGCTATAGTTTGATTCAAAGCTTCCTCATGGTGTCCGTTGACATGTGCCATACCATCCATCTCTTCTTGTCCCAGAGCTGTCCCCTGTCTAATGTGCCTCCGTCATCGTGGTCTGTATTTTCATCTGCTTGGGGCCGAGACTGATACATTTCTGTGCACGTCTCTTTTCTTCTTACCGTGCCCAGAAATTGTAAAAATGAAGATTCAACTACCGGTGGAATAGTTCCCAATGTAAGACTTTAATTTTTGGGGTTCTAGGAAAATATTTATCTGTACATTCATCAAGTACCTTTATATCGTTCATTTTTCATCATTGCGTGAGGTAGAGTTTGCGTATTTCATTTGCGCTTATGAAAAGGCAGGGGAGAAGACTGTTTGCTCAACACCCTTCCAATGTTTACTATAGTAGTAACACGACAAGAGGTTTCACGCCAAGCTTGACTGGTACGTGTATTTTGACTGACCATAATAGCGGAGGGGCATAATGCATGGCAGGAAGAAAAGCCTCTGGTCTGATTTTGTTATATTGATTTTGGTATATTGATGTTGTGGTAGTATGAAGTCTTCATGATATCCTCAATATGGGTGGACTAGTGTTGAATCTCAGTTGAAGCTACTGAAAAGTGGAAGAGATTTTGTATACTCTTGTCAAGGTTAGTTGTTAGAATAGTAAAAGTTAGCCTTATAGTCGCTTTTACTCAATCAAGTCTTTTGTAATATATTTGAACTATTGAAGGTATTGTCGTTAGGATCTATGAGAATTTGTTGAACTCGGGTATCTCCGGCAATGTTTAGTAATTGTCGGGACATCGATCATGTGATCAAAGAGGGCACTGCATTAGCTAGCGTCGCGCTAGCGCTTCCCTATATCAAGTGCTAGCTTCTCATAGATAACAATGATCAAGAACGAATACAACCACAATAGACTAAAGTACTTACACTTATCAACCAAGTTGATACCAACAGTAATGTATGGATAATAACATCGATAACTTTGTTAATGTATTACTCGATATCACCTATAAACTACGTAGTAAAATATTTATTACGCTGTATGCTAATGTGAATTTCTAATTAAGGCACGTGATATACTATGGTATAAGAAGATTGAATTTCATGATCCGGTTCCCATAGTCATACTAAATTGAAGTGAAAGATTTATAGAATATCTTTATTCGATCGTTCGATCGCTTATTTTGAAGCTTTCATCTTGCGCTCAACAATGGTCGGTGTGAAGAAAGAAGTAGGACGCCGAAGTTTTGGGAGCTGACTTTCATATCTCATTAACTAGAGTTATCATGCATTCACCCTTTTTGAGCACACTCGAGATCCTCTCTACTCCGAATTTCAAACATTGATCGTCACTCTTGTTTTTCGCCTCTCACAATCCATTCATCTCTAGAATATACCGACAAATCGTCAGAGTGTCGACTAATCTCAATTCCATAGGTCTCTACTAGATCTTCCTTCGAGTGTCAAGTATCTCAAAAAATTGATTGACACATCTGTCCAGGAATTGAATGATCAACTGATACAACGTTTGAGTTTCATTGATGGAAGTTGCTTCCTATGTCTTTGTCCTTGATCGAGATCATCGTTATCTAGCGCGTCTACGTGCAGTATAGCCTGAACCTGGAGTAGGGTGGCAGAACGTATTTCTTTTGTTGTACGGAATTTTCCATATCTATGATAAAGAAAATCATGATGAAAGATTCTCAGGTTGTACTGTATCTCTAGTCTTAATCCTTTTTGAGTTTTATTTAGTACTTATTCAATAACACATGTCTTGTTTTCAGTATAGATTTTGTTGTGTTTAATAAACAAAGTCATCAACAAAGATATTTCAACCTAGTATATTTTTTGATCGAAATGTTCGCGAAACCCCTCTTTATCATTGAGTGTTGTCTTATTTCTTGTTCTTAACTGCCTATTTATGTGCGTTCTTTTTAGAAATCAGAATCCGACCAATATCTCAAATCAATTCATTCCCTCCGCAAATTGTTCCGAATCTGCTTCACTACCTCGTATCACCGGTTGTTTAGTCTTCCTGTTCAATTTCGACGCTAATATCAAATCTGAATATTCAAAGCTCACATTAATTCAAATACAATGGCTTGGCCATTGACGGTTTACGAGCCATTCGAGGGGAACACGAAAGAAGAGTTTAACGCGCACGTGCCCAAGGAGCAAGAGTTTTTGTTATGCCACAACTGTGGATGGACCGTATATCATCAGGTACATTACTGGTACGTTAGTCACATCAAGGTCATGTGCAATGGAGCCAGGGGCATTTGGTTTATTGGCGATGATTATATCTTGAAAGAAAGAGCCATTTTGGAATATGGGCGAGCTAGCGTCATGGGCGCTGATGTTTCGATCTCCAAATTTTTGACCGAAAACTCTACTGTACCTGTAGTAAAATACATACACCATTGGAAAGACAGCAAGAGTCATTTCACGATGGCCGAGAGGATTCCGGGCGATTCGCTAAGGGTAGCTGGGAATAGTATGAGCAAGGATGAGATACGAGTCATTGCCAAAGAAGTCGTCGAGCATCTTATAGAGGTGCGCAAGTTTACATCACCAAAGATAGGAGCTCCAGACGGTTCGAACATAAGAGATAGGGTGATAAGTTCTAATGAGAGGGTACAGTTCGTGACGGATGATTTTGAGAAGTGGTGGACTCGGGCAAAACTTCGGTTGTCAAAGGAACAAACTGAACGGTGGAACGACGTCATCAAGGAAATATATCCTATCAAAGGAGGACCATACGTGCTCACACATGGAGATTTGGATGCGAGTAACATAATGGTAAAAGATGGGCATCTCACCGGTATCATCGATTGGGAAGCGGGGGGGTATTTGCCAGAATGGTGGGAGCTAGTAGCGAATAGCGTGATGTTACCGCCCTTATGGGGCTTTTGTTTTAGAGAGGAATGGAAAACTCAAATTGGGCCATTGCCAGAGGAAGAAATCCAATTTGCCAGGACTTTCAAGAATTTCTTCAAGGAATACTATCCCAGACAAATTGAACCAGAGCCGTTCTTCGATCAAGACTCTTATATCAAATGTCCCAATTACAGTCGCTATCTGAAAGAATCAAGAGATGGATTTGCATCAACCGTTCGTCAACGTGAGAGCCGTAAGAAAGAAGCTGCTAAAGAAGAGATTGCGGCATTAGCGGCTTTGAAAAAATTAGGCTTGGATGAAAAAGAAAAGGTCACAGATTGAAGATAATTCATAAATAGCCGGCGTTAAAATGAACAATATTACTTGTGAATTCTTCTATACTACCAAGAAATAAAAATCTAGCACTCTCTCATCTAATTCAGGGAGCACGCTAAGAGCATTAGGTGCCACAGGTAGAAAAAAATTGCTTGATATATTCAAATCCATCGTATGTAACGTTTAGAGCAACAAGCACTACAGTTAGATCAATTTGACAACCAATTCTCAACATGTTCTCCCTCGTCTCCTCCCTCGTCTCCCCCCTTATCTTTTATGTCTTCCAATTGTTTCCACTCAGCAATCCTCATATTCTTCCTGAGACTTAGAGCTACAACATCTGGTACAACAGAGACATTCACACCTCGCGAATGATCTTCACTAATCACAACTGAGCATTTAATCCCAAACACCTCGATCTGGACCGCCATACACCTGGGGGTTTTATCCTGCTCATTCCCATTTTCGTCCAGATTAAATTCTGATACATCCGTCCATAACGGTACACGCTCTTCATGATTTATGGTCGCGATTTTCCGAGTGTCTTCATGCTTGATAGTGATGCGTTCGATGGTTTCATGGCCTGGTATGACACCCGTACACCTTCCACAATGCGTTGCTAGTGTCGGGTTGTTGGTATGACAGCAGGGGCATGGGTTTCCCTCCATAATTGTGGATAACGACATAAAGGGTGAATGAATCAATTGAAGAAAGTAGATGATAGCGGCGAGAATACAAAATCACGTGGATTGAGGGCTAATTCGAAGTTAGTGGGATGAACAGGGCCAGATGTAGAGAGCATGCCGATAAGGGTTTACAGCAGAAAACCCTTTTAGCTTGATATTGAAATGGAAGAAGAGAAAGGATATGAAAGAGTTGTATATCTGCCTCGGTTGAACTTACTATTAGGATGTATTTGGAGTTCGATTCTTGATCGCCTGGTTATCCTATTGGGATGTTTTTTGAGTTTAATTCTCAATCTACTGATTATCGTTCTGATTGACCTTTATATCTATGAGTGTTATCACTGGTATTGTCGTTGTTGCTATTGAAACTGCTGATCTAGATATCTGATGAAGAGCCAGTCTTGAGCAATATATGTCATGAAAAGAACAACTGCAAATGTCGTAACTCATGATGCAGAAGTCTTCCAAGCCTATTGGTTCTATCTCTAAACATTGGTACAAAGGAATCTGAGCACAATTTGATGAAGGTGTTGAAATGTCAAGACTTGGAAATAAGGTTTCTCTTTTGATCTGATGCTTCATAATTTGGAAGACAGTTGTGAAGAATCTCAAGGCTAGACAGTGGCGTATCATGTTATGGAGTTTGAGACTAAAATCTTTATCATGATTCAACATCAAATTGACCGAACAAAGAAATAAAATTGAAGCTAGGATTAAAATATCGAAGAGCCCTGAACTCAACTGAATCGAGTGCTTGGCTATATGTTTCAGCCTCAGAAAAAGACATCCTAGACCCGCCACATGACGACTATTATTGTCATCAGTTTGAAATCTTTTCGAATCATTTGGTCGGCTTGTCTCATAACAGCAGGTATTATGGAGTTGGAAAGAATACCTGGAGAACAGTTGTAGAATGAGAGGGTTTTAATGGGAGACTTGGAAGCACCGGGTGGAATATTATTCATTTTTTACATAGTGACTCTTGAAATTGCCACGTTCTAGAGATCAATAACGAGCAGAATAGAATAGAAAGGGGAGCAAAACTCTTCAACTATCGGATTATTCTATGCCATCCTGATAATATACGCAGAAACAACGTACTCCCCTATCGCCATTACATTACGTAGATTACTAGACCAATGTTAGTACTATAATTACACGAATCCTAAAGATCTGGTAAACCATGTCTCTTGACTTTGCATGCTCCGTAATAGGTTCTACACATCTGGAATATCGCTCGCCACCAACTAATTGAGATTGCATGGAAAAGGAGAGTTAGGAAAAATATAGAAGGAAGCCTAATAAGAATCGCACATGTTGATATGAAGAGGATGTTGTGCTTTGGAAAAGCTGGTGTCTTCACAAATGAAAGCAGGAGGGCATGCTCATGAATGGAAAACAATTTGACTCTCAGCGGTTGCCATGAGTAGTATATCGATACCAAATTCGGCTGGTAAGACTTATTGGAAAGATATCGAAGGAAAGATAGTATTCACATAGGAATCTGGAGTTCCCTGTTTGGCGTAGAAGGTGGTTAGTAGGTACTGATTGGACTGATTGAACTGATTGGCAAGAATCAGGCAGTACAACATAGAGCAAGGTTCAATACGCACTTCGAAGAGTAGGTAGGGAGGTAAGAAAATTCCATTTTGATATATATCATTGAAAGTAGTCCGTTTCCGTGGTATTAATGCTAGTGTCAATTTGTAAGCTATATTTCACAAAGGTAATAACTACATTTAAGCTCCTTTAATCGAATAATCAAATGATAAACTATACCCTAGTCTAAAATCAATTAGTTTATCTCTTATTATATTTAGAAATCAACAAAATATAAGAATTTCAGATAAACATATAGACATAAATATTTGTTTATCAAAACCTAAACTTTCTACATATAAATAAAGAAAACGTCTAAAATATTATTAGATTCTTTTTATGATACTTTTTTATACATAACAATTAGAAATAATAAAAATTATATCAATTTTGCCTCTTGATTATCTAATTAGCGACAAGCAGCTTATAAATATTGAGAACCATTATATTTAAAAAGCATAACTTGATTATTTTTAATCTACTAGAGATAACTTGTTATTACATCTACAAGATAAGACATGTGGATTCAATTCCTATTGTGAAAATCCATAATAAGTCTACTAAATTACTTATTAATATTTTATTAATTAAGATATATCTTAATGACTAATATATATATAATAATATCTTTTATCAAATTGATTTATAATAAAACAGAACCAAATAAAAACATATAAAAGATTATTATTAATTGATTAAATTCGATTGATTGTACTTTCTTTTTATTATATAAAATGATTTCATAGAATTCGATTTAAATCGATCTTATTTATAAATATAGATTATACTAGAATTTCATTATGAACTATATAAACCTAGGATATTCTTTAAAGAAAACCTAGAGAAAACTAAGTAATTTAATTTAAAATAAGCCTACCTCTTATCAATTGACTTCAATTCAACTCGAATATATATATTCGATTTATCCCTTAAGCTTAAACTGACTAGATCTTCTACTATTATTATTATAATAATAATTATTCTTATTATTATAAAACGTAACCTCTAATACCTATATACAAAAAAGACCTATAAACAGCAAAATAATAGTTTACACGGCGCTGACCCTTTCACTAGGCGTCTTGTTCGAATTTAAGTCTTCAACGGAACCGAGACGGATATCACCTGTCTTACTAGTCGATGAGGAGAAAAGATGGGTAAGTTGTGAAAATTGGCGGCTATATGTGATAAGCTCCAGGATTGGACGAAGTGTGGGAAGACATGCGCTTAAGACACCGACATTGGTCTCAATGATGGTCCAGTAGTAGGTTGGCGCATAGAGCCCTAATCAATAGGTTAGCTTGCTATAATTTGGCCTCGGTTTAGCTTCATTGTACGAAACAACATACATGTGATATCCGGCTGGGTATGACTGGAATATAGGAAGGCATAGATTGTGGTCAAAAAATGAATTCGAACAACGCCGACGATGCTAACCAAACCACCCAGACAGAAGATGCCGATGATCAGGATCTTTCGTGAAAGAGGCATCTGTAGCTTCTTAACTTCATATGCCGGTAAGAATAGTACCAAAACTAGCACACGGGTGAGTTTCTTGTTCGGTCGAGACACAGTATGACTTACAGTCTGTGGCGACGTCTGTCGCCAAAGCAACAGTAAAGAGGATCTCTTGATTGACACATTTATAACTTGTCCCCGTCCATGGCCCCGCAATTGGCAAACACGAGACTATTATGTTAACTGAGCATAATATAAAACGATTGCCAAGGAGAATACATACACATGAGCGCAAATGTAAATGTTAAGATCCAGGCAACATTGACTCCGATCATAATCCAGGTCACTATCTGGAATCTCGGAGTGCTAAATATACGTTTGTACATCAGAAGAACGCTGATTTTAGTCAGTCCCACCGCCGGCCATGTAAGTAGCTCAAGCGCGTATATTGTCTGTCCAAATACATTTAGTTATCTTATAACATACAATTTGTCTAGATAGCAAGTGTTACATACCTTAGCGAGGACTATAGCAGCCTTAGGATTGAGAGGGGTTCCATCGGCATTGAACTCTGAGTGACTACCAAGACCGCCGAGCTGGGTCACTGATGAGTTGCAACCTGTCAGAGCGCTGATGAACAGAAGGATTCATATCATAACTTACTAATAAGCATATCTATTGTTACAGCAAGCCCGAGTATCTACCACCTCGCCGTTGATTAGAAAATAATATCGATGATTGAGATAGTAGGATATCTTACCAGAGCTACCAGAATGGTCCAGTCGTCAGATCCTAATTTTTGGCCTTTAATCCGACGAGCCCAAAATCGAAGTACGACAGCCGCAATAGCTATGATGGAGAAAGAGATCCCCAACCCCCATATGATTGGCTGTTGGCTCTCGGGCATTTTGAGAATTTATGTGGGAACTGGAGGAACTTTCTGAACAGGAACTAAACAGATAAAACTGCGAGAGGAGTAAAATCAGGACTCTTTCGAAATGGTAAGAGTGTGTTGCAATATAACTCCATTCGATATAAGAAGCAGATGTAGATAATAACGCCGAAGGTCCAATAACACGAACCGAGAGAGATGATTGAAACATATAAGGTATTTCTTCATCACACTTTCAACCCTGCTGCCTACTCCAATTATACACTTTAATTTCATCTCAAATGCTCAAGCAGGAATCCCACGCCACAAGAGTTGATGTATACACCGTCTCATGGGTCAGAAGATACGAGGGGTTACAGTTGAGAGTAGCAATCGAGAGCAGCGTTGCAATCGCGTGCAACCCCTGCCGGATAATAAAGCTCATATAATGACCATACCCACGCTTGCAGGGGCGAAAATGTAATTGACGGGCTATAAGGTACGCGATGGTTCCCCTCATACGCACTGTCCAATCAAAAAACCATGCTTACTGTACTCGAAGGAATATCTTCACAAACACAGATACATGGTTATAATGCAAATGTGTGCGCTCTCATTTTTAAGTTGTCTACGCACCTGAATACATTTCAATTGAGTTTTATACATCAAGTTTAGGATTGGTTAAATTTTGAACGCGTGGTGGAAAGAAATTTTACTGGATGGAAAATGATGTTGTGTAGGTAGGTAAGGAGTTGAGGAGTGGGGGCTGTGATAAGATGGAGTAAGATATCAGGGATTTGGCAATCTAGTGCAATGCAACTGTCTTACGCGCCGTGATGAGGCCGCTAAACTCATCGTGACAAAGTTCAACGTTATAAAAGATGAGACTACTTATAATACTGCTGCTATATAGCTAGGCAACAAAAATAACGCCAGGAAAATCATTTTAAGATCCTTTGGAATAAGAACCTGTGTACTACAAATTAGTGGGGGCGATTTTGAGATCGCGAAGATCATTCTGCCTCCCGTCTCAGCTTTTCTTCAACCTTGAGTTGCACCTCTTTTCCACAACGGAACCGCATTTTCTGGCAGCACACCGAGGCTTGGTATTACCTCTTAAAGAGAATGCCGGTCGGAGAGCAACGCGCGGCGTGTTGAATTTGTTTGTTGAGAAGTGGGAAGGATACAGATCCTGAGACCATAAACACTAGGACTTTTATTTCGACGGTTGATGATGCGATGAAGATCTGTGGCTAAGAATATGATATTACTATCTTCATACATCTTCGATAACAATAATAAGGGTTAGTTTGAATACACAAAATCTAAAACGTCCTTTTTTGGTTTACCGAATCCGTAGAGAAATCCAATAAATTTGACGGATTGGACGGATCAATTAATAAGTGGGCTCATCAACAAATTATGTGACCTATTCTTTCACGAACATTTTGAGGATTTCCACGAGCCCGGGTTCTTTCCCCCCAAGTGGGGACGCTATGGGCTCTACGAATCCACAGAAGAATTAAACCAGTAATTATCTCGGCAACATATCTTGTGGCAATGGTAGATCTACCTGCCCTGGGCGATGGTATGCAGCTGCTATGATCAAGCTGATTGTGGCAAAATTATTGCAGTTATTGCTCGATTATGAGCTCTCGTTTCGTCCTAACCAAACGAAACGACCACGGGACGCGAAGTGGCTACACCATGGTACACACGGGTTTTGAGCAGAAGATTGTTCTCAAGAAGGGTTCTGGTGCCTAAAGGTTTTTGCGCCAAATTCTTTCCAAACATTCATCTTGTCACATAAGTCAACAACATCGGGCTTTTTATGATTCATATTCCTCTTTTAAAAACTATAAACTCCCTCCAAATTTTGTATCTATTTGTAGATAGTCCTATATACTCGCGGCTCTTGATTGTATCTTTCTACACTGGCTATATTTTAACACGACAGTGCCGCAACAGCCATTGCCGTCGTTACCCCACAATTCCCAATCTTCATGCCATTCGTTCCATACTGATACATCCAACCGGCTTCCCAGCTTCCATCGTCGCACTGCAACTTGAGCAAAGCGCAGCGATCTTCTTCACAATCAACTCCCATCTGGATGCATGTAATGATACGCATGGCCAGATCCAATGCGTTACCTTCTAGACCAAGGCGCTCACGCACTCGTGACTTCAAGAGTGGTCCTAAGGTCATCTGCAGATGTGGATCACTTGATGAGCGGAGCAAGCGTCCAATAAAGCCTAGACAGCAATCTGGAGAAGGATAGTAACGAGTTCCTTGTATGTAGGAGCGATCCAGAAGCATTGAGTGTATGAGCTGTAGTGTATTTTCGAACTTGTGGCCGCGATCATAAGTGTAAAAGCAAGCGAGGACGTTCGCGCTGACAATAGGGTCAACTCGCTTTCTATCACGGTCGAAATACGTCTGTTACGTTGTTCAGTAAATTAGTTCCAGCTATTGTTACCCTACTGTATCAGTGCCCGATGACTTACCTGGAAAGTACCGTCATCGTTGACATAATCGGCCATGGTGTCCAGAATTGATGAGACAGTCTGGGTCGATAAAGGCCGGAGAGCTGTCAGAGCAAGTGACGTAGTGTCAAGATCATCAGGGAAAAAACCTCCTGGGACAAGTACTGTTTCTCCTAAAGATACATCTTCGTTAGCCGCTGGATGTGCTTTGACGTATAAGAGTTTTCTTACCAGCAAAGAAATTCCACGTCTCTTTAGAACCCCAACTGAGATCTACGAGAGTTCTAATTGCAAGTATTAGTCACCGAGTTATACCGCACTTATTTCCATGGCTCGAAAATAGTGACTTACTGATCTTGCAATGCATCCATGATCAGCAGCTTTGCGAAATTGTCCGCGAAAGTAATTCCGCTCACAGTGATTGAGTCACATTCGTTCCCATTCTGAAATAGATACCTCCAACCTTTACTGACTGGACTATCGAATAACTCAGTTAAAGTTTGTAGTGTCGACTCTTCAAACACATATCCTCTAATGCCCAATTCTTGTGATGCATGCACATTTTCCTCCTTGTCATCAATAAAAGCTACGTCATTGCCTCTCAAGCCGATCTGGCCCAGGACATAGCGATAAAACCCCAGCTCTGGCTTTCTCATTCCTGCCGCTGCTGAGGTAAACACTTGATCAAAAAGGAGCCAATCTAAGTTTTTTGCGAGTTCCTCGAAGTCCTCTTTGCCGACATTTGACATGGCATACACCCGAACGCCAGGATCCTTCCTCAATTTACGAAGAAATGCAACGATGGCTTCATCGGGCTCCAGAGATTCACGTGCTTGGGCAAATGCTTCAGCAATCTCAGACGCCGGGATGGAGAATTGACGAGAACTCAGCTCGTAGCAGACATCTCGGGTGATTTCACCACGTTCGTAGCTGTACCAGACAGGCGTTGAGAGTAATTCTTTTAGTTTTCGAGGTGAAATTGTCGTTGTTGTATTGGCCGACCATTTGAAGAGGACATCTCCAAGGTCGAAAATGACCGCTCGCGGGGGGGCTTGTAGGAATTTCATTTTTCACACAGTGTTACATAAATCACCAGTAGTACGAAGGGGACGTCAATCTATATATAGACATGTATTTCTAGTATTGCGCCGCTTATCGTACCCTGGGCGGCTAGTTCATCTTACCTACTAATAGAAGCAGCCAACCAACTTCAAACAACCAACCATCCACTCACTCCTGCGATTGGACTTGATATTGCTTCGTTAGAGTGTGACATCCTGATCTGCTTCGGTGGCTTGAGGAGCCATCTTGCAGGTTCTACATCGCCAGGCATTCAATTCTTACCTGCATATTATCAACTCTTTTCGTCGTGAACATGAAAATGCTTGCCAGTAAGCATCGACATTAATGAATCCCAGATAACAGCCTAGTATTGACCGATACAGTGGATCACCATCTTCACACTCGGGGAAGGCTGGCAGATCGGGTAATGCTCCGGCGAAATCTGACGTGACCGGCACTGTAGTACTACTACGCTGACTTCACCTCACGAATAGGATCGACTAAAATGACGGCTCTTGTTTCTCCTTGTTCTTTTATATTGACGGCCATGGCCGTGGAGGTTAAGCGCTTCGCGGCCGCTAGTTCAAGCACGTGGATACCCCCAGCAACGACATTCATGAAGAATTCGCATGAGGCTTCCCGAATAGGGTTAGATTATCACAAAAAATCTGAGATGGCGGAATAAGCTGATGGATCTCGCTGATCAAACCTGGAAACTTTTATATCAAGAGCATTTCTCTTTTTAAGAAAAAATGGGGGCTCAAATGCAACAATGGGGGATTGGACAGAAGCTTCAATCTATGCCTCGGTATCCCCCACCTTTATTATTCGAGAGACTCGGTTAACTTGCAACTACATCTTATCTGAGAAATAGAGTTACATCCGGTCTTGGGAATTATGAATGGTATCATCATATGGAAAGTAATCATTCCTCCGCCGTTGCATATGCACATATCAAATATACAACGCATGCAGGTAAGCACACCTTGAAACTCCGTCCATGGATTAGCTTAGCTGGGATTGCGGAGAATAATTCCAAGTAAGATGAAAAAAGCTAAGGATAGGTGAGAGTGGCGATCTCTTTAACCAGGCCGCTTGATCAATTTCTTTGAAACTTTCCTCCTATCTCGTTGTGGTCAATTCATCCGTTGGACTCTCTTCCTTCATTCCTCTCTTCCCTTTCCCCTCTTCATCCAGACATCCATTTTTTGCCTCTCCTTGTGCCTTTTTCTACGTTTCATGACATCTCACTTTCAGAAATGGAGTACAGCCAACTCTTGTCACGCCTTGACCTTACACCCACGGCGATAGTTGTGTATTTTGTCTCCTCGGTATTTGATTTTCACATTGAAGCTGGCCTCGCAAGGCAAGCAAATAGTTCAACTCTAACATCAAACTGTTACCTAGATTGCCCTCCTTGTAGTAGTTAAACTCATTTATAACATTTACTTTCACCCATTGGCATCATACTCTGGCCCGCTTTACCTCATTGCTTCGGATATTCCACTGGCCGTTCTCTCACTTCTTGGCACCAGTCAATATCGACTCAAAGCCGCTCACGACAAATATGGTGACATTGTACGCATTGCCCCCGGTACTCTCTCCTACATCAAGCCGCAAGCCTGGAGCAACATCTATGGATACAAGCCAAACGGTGGAGGTGTAGCAAACTTCCCGAAAGACCCGCACTTCTACAATGAAATGATGCTTGGTAGGCAAACTATTACGCTTGCTAGTGACGAAGAAGCTATTCCAATCCGGCGTTCATTGAATAGTGCCTTCTCACATCGCTCGCTTCTCGAACAGGAACCCATGATGCAACAGCACATCGGGCGGCTTATGGAACAATTTGAGAAGCAAAGCGCCCATAGTCGTTCAGTAGATGTTCGCAAATGGTTCACCTTTTCTATGTTCGATATTAATAGCGATTTTGGCTTCGGTGAAGACATGGGCTGTGTAGAAAATGGTGTTTATCACGATTGGGTGAAGTTTGTCATGGACTATTTCTATGCTGCAACGCTCCTCCACCAGTGCCATAAATTCTGGCCTCTGAGTCGCTTGCTTGCTCTTTGTATTCCAGAGTCTACGAGAAAAATGCAAGTGAACCATAACGATGCTTCATTAAAACGTGTCAGAAAACGCATGGGAATGGACACGGATCGTCATGATTTCATGCACTACTTCTTGAAGCAGGCTAAAAAGGAACAGCTCTCAAATGAGGTAATTGAGGCCCAAGCGACAGTCGTTATTCTGGCTGGTAGCGAGACTTCATCAGTGGCGGAGACTGCGGCTGTGTATCACATTCTGACGCACCCGGATATCTACAAGAAGCTTCGAAAAGAGATTCGCAGCAGCTTTGCTAGCATCGAGGACATCAAACTGCAAGATGTGCTGTCTAAGCTGCCATATCTGGAAGCTGTAGTGCAAGAGACTTTGCGTATACATGCTCCTCTTGCTAATGGGTTTACTCGTTGGGTCCCGGACAAGAATGGGGCGATAATCTGTGGTCAACATGTTCCACGAGGAGTAAGTGAATCTTTTGAAAACCTTGATACCTCAGTGCGGTATTTTTTATTATAATTGACACCTATTAACAAAATCTCACTTGTAGACTGTTGTTACGATTAATCACTACTGCTCCAACACATCAGAATCCAATTTCCGCGACCCTATGAGTTTCATCCCAGAAAGATGGATGGGCGATGCAACCTATACCAACGACAAAAGGGAAGTCGTACAGCCATTTTCCGTCGGACCACGAAATTGTCCCGGCCAACAGTAAGTTATGAAAAACGCCACCTTCTGAATACGGAAATTTCACAATTAACCTTGATGTATCGCGGAACAGATTTGCACTTTACATTATCAAACTCACACTCGCGCATCTAATATGGCGTTTTGATCTGGAATTGGGCGAAGGCACCAAGAGCTGGGCGGAGGGCCAACGAATCTATAATGGTTGGATTCAGCCGGCTTTGCCTATATTGATGACGAAGAGAGCATAATTCAACACAATCTGTCCGGCAAGAGATGGATATAAAGATGGGGACCTTGAATAGAAAATAGAAAAAATTGTTCGAAATCAAAATACTTATCAATCCTTCATTCACTTCACCCTTCCCCGTATCGTTTATACTGAAATGGCAGAACAGACATTTGCAAATTAAATTTAGTCGTTGAGCCGCAGTTACTATGCGCAAAAACACGTGCCGGTCACGTGACTTGCCTGTAGCTAATACTTATAGATTTTCTTTGTGTATTGCAGAAGGAAGACGACTGCTCAGTTGTCATCCTATTTACTACATAAGATCTTCCCAGAGCTTCGCAGAGCCTCCCTCCCTTATGTAGACGCTACGTTTCAGCACATCCACAGTATATGCGAAGGCTTAGTCGATGACCCTACCACCTTCCACTGTTTTACGTTACCGACACAAAGCTGCCAGGCTTTTGATCGAACACACATAACTTATAAGCAAGTGGATAAGATGAGATTCGCTTATACGATCGTCAAATAGCGCGCTTGCTTGTATCAAGGTATCTCTTCAATTTCTATAGCACCGGACATGCCCTGATTAGGTTAAGTTACTTCGCTGCAATTGGAGCGGGATTCAAAAAACTCACCATGTATCCTTGTTTCATTTTTGAAAGCATTGCATTAGGGAAACGGACGAGAAACTATTGAGTGGGATTTATGCATGTATGTATGCGGCGTTCGCTTGTGGGGGCCAGTGCATTTCGTGTCGTATATGTGGGGATTGAGGATTGGGGGTTAGGTGGGGTTGAATGGTGGCTAATTTTATCAGGGTGGCGAGGGTGGTAGTCGTTACCAACATAAGCACTATACGAATTCGACACACTCTTCCAGATTTGATGATGTGATGATATATTGTATGTACAGATGCAGATTTAGCGCTTCTTTATCAATACTACTTCAAGAAAAAGGGGAATTAGCTGGGATATTGTTGGAACGGAAATTCTGCGTAGTATTTGTTGATATGATAACCTTATGTTGTCGTTGTGTTTGCTCGTATAGTTGGCGAACGGTTGGCATAGAATGATATTGGGAGTGGTTTGTGTATATTATAGGAAGGTGTAGTTTATTATGAAGCTACATATATCAATAGCTCATTGCTTGTTCAGCCTTAAAATCTTCATTTCTTTGTCTAGAACTAACCAAAAAGCTGTTCACAGGTATTTATTGTGGACGCGAGATGTGGAAGCCCGAGCTGGGTCCGAGGCTTGAGCATGGCGCGTGCCAAGGAAGTCAGGGGTTTTCGTTGAACCATGTCGATTGCAATACAATATGCCTGCTGCTGCTACATAAACTAAAGACTACTGTAATATAAGCTACAGGCTACTATTGAAGAAGGGGAACTAGCCAGGGCCGCGCGGGCGGATGCAAGAGTAGAAGTATGAAGACGAACTCCATCAACTAGTTCTAATGAAAAGCTTCTCGTAACGCCTTGAAACTGATAAACACTTTCTCAATAACTGATATTCTACTAACATTATGGGCAATATTTTTAGCCAGTTCTATTTTATTCCATCGGCGTCGCTCACGGAGAAGAATACTCCCGATCAAACAGGCCGAGTATGTATAGTCTTATCTTTCTTTTACACATCTTGGATTCCCTTCTAACGCGCGCAATTGTTTATTCAGATCTTTCTTGTAACAGGTGGTTATGCAGGCGTCGGTTTTCAATTATGTAAAATTCTTTATGCCCACAACGCAACTGTTTGGATGGCAGGCCGCTCGGAATCCAAAGCCCAAAACGCTATATCCTTAATCAAAGAAGCGTCTCCTAAAAGTAGCGGTAGCATTCAGTTTCTGCAAGTTGACCTGGCTGATCTATCCTCGATTAAGCCTGCGGTCAAGCAGTTTACTTCCCAGCAACAACGTCTTGACGTTCTCGTCAACAATGCCGGCGTACGTACTTCTTTCCCTGCACCTCTATACATGCTTTACACACACATGCAACTTGCTTATGTCGTACGTTTGTGAACTTTCAGGT